TTTAGCTCTATTAACCATAGGAGGAGGTGTAGGTTCTATATCAGCATCAATATTAATGGGAATATTTTCAAGAAGAAGAAGTCTCTAAATAACTGATCTTTTTGGGATTATGGCTATAATGATAGCATTCATAGATTAAAGCAAATATGCTCTTTTGACTTCTAGATTCTTTGTTGGTGTTGTATTAGGACTTAATGGAGTTCTAGTACCTGTATATATAAATGAGATGTCACCAAAAGAAAAGGCAGGGTTTATGGGAACAATGAATCAATTGTTTATAACTTTAGGAATATTGTTTTCATTTTTGATGTCTTACTTTTAAGATATTTCATTACCTATTCCATTTTACAAGATAATGTTATATTTACCTATTATACCCTGTATAGTAAGATCTAGTGCATTGTCAACTGTGTTTAAGTATGAAACACCTGTATATTGTGTTAAATACAATTTGAAGTATCAATTGATTTAAAGCAAAGTCAGTAATTGCATAGAGTATTAGAAATGATATACAAAGAAAAGGGAGATAAAATGTATTAACAATTTTAATAACAATAAAAATCAACAGAATAGAGAATCACTTTTAATCAATTATTTTCATCAAAGTATAGATTTCGTTTGTTTATTGGAATTTCTCTTGCCTCTTTATAATAATTAGGAGGTATAAATGGTATTATGTTTTATTCTTCTTCAATATTTGATTAAGTATAGAATATGTGTGTCAAACTTAGGTGACTGGCCAAGCATCATAAAAAGTGTTTTATTTAAATTTAATTGTTGGATTTATTGGAGTATTTACAGCCTTATTAGCAACTATAATAATTGAGTAATTTGGAAGGTATGATTAAATATAATTATATAATTTAGAAAACCTATTTTAAAGTATGGAACTCTATGGTGTTTTATAAGTTTATTAATGTTAACATTTGTGATGTCAAATAATATAGGGAATACAACATTTGGATAATATTCAATAGTGATTTGTATATTCTCATATCTATTTGGTTTTGGATTCTCTTAGGGTCCATTATTATTTATATATTTAACTGAAATATTACCAGATTTAGGAGTTAGTGCTAGTGGATTAATGAATTGGATGTCTGGAGGATTAGTAGCCTAAATGTTTCCAATTATTGCCTCATATGATATATCTTATTGCTTTGCCTTATTCTCCATATTTAATTTTATAGCGTATTATTATATACGTTTAATTAAAAATTTAGATACTTGATTATCCAATATAAAGTGATTGAAACAAAAGGATTAGATAGAGAAACTGTGGACAAATATTTTGAAAATCAAAAGTTTGATTACATACCTTATTAGGAGGCTTACCAAGAAGAAAGATTTCGTTGAAATAGAAATTGGTTGAAAACATTTTAAATCATAATTAAATATATATCAAAATTATTGAGATATCAATTAAACCTTCTCCATCTTAATCCCAATATTTTTTTGTCTATTCACCAATCTCTTTAATAGCTTAATCAATGTCCTCCTAGCAAGTTGGAGGAAAATGAGCATCTAAAATTTAATCGATGACTAAAACATCTAGGATTTCCCACAATCCTGTTGATCCAATTAATAAATATCCTGATTTAGGAACTTTAAATTCTGTAATCTCTGGTTCAGCACTAATTCCAACAGTTTTCCCATTCATATTACCAAAACATCTAGTTAATTTAACACCAGGTAAATTCTATTTAGGAGCCCATACTTTCAAATTTCCACTCTTTCTACCTTTATAGATAGCTTAATCTATTTTGCCACCTTTTTTTAGTATTCTCTAAACTTCCTTACTATTATTTGTGTCATGAACAAAATTGATATTTTTCTATACAAACTTTCTTAATTCTTTAATTTCATTTGTATCAGAATCTTTCTTATAAAAATAGGCAGCTTTTGAATCACCTAAATTAGCACAATATATCGAATTATTAACTATTATCATTGATAATAATGAACACCCATTATTCTTTACATCAAAATCCGTTTACTCAATCTAAAAGTTTTAAATTGTATAAATACCAGATTTTATTCAACTTGTTAGTAAACATTTTAGAAACTAGAATGAATTGACAAACTCAATCCAATTATAGGTATATTATTGATAACTTATATGATTTAGTCTAATGCACGATGAGTGATTATTTTCGAAAAATGTATACCCAAATTGCCATGACTATCACCTAGTCCAACCACAAGATAGTCGATATTCTGGCTTTTTTACATATTTACTACAACACTATCGCTGTTTTTTACCATATTTTTTGCAGGATCAAGACCATCAAGTTATCTTTAATTAATTTAAATACATACATTGAGCTTGTAAATTTAACAAGGTTTTTTAATTATGATGTTATAGACAATCTCTAAATGGAAGTACGTTTATTAGTGATTACAATATTTCTATTTGGTGATCGGTATGATTATGATATTTATTACAGTTTTGACCACTTTGATTATGCTTCAATTTTAGGACTAGAATTAATGTCTGGGAGAGTTCTTAGAGATCCTCTTATTACTTCGACTTCATGAATTGTTTTATGAGATTTCAAATTATTTAAAGGAAGTAATTAGTGAGAACTTCTATGAAATGTAGCTACTCCTTGTTTTTATTTTAATTCTAAAAGCTTTTTTTATTAAGCACTCATTTTAAATCAAATATTAATAAATTCAGATATCAATCAAATACTTAAATATCTTGATTAATGCATAAAATGTTTCTATTTTCTAAATTATTATCTTTTTTTTATTATTTAATTTCTGATATTTAAAAAGATTATATAAAGATGTTTAATAAATTAAATTAATAATATCCAATATAATAATTAAAAAATATCAGCAATCTTTATTTTAAGTCTCTGATTGTACTATTTTATTCTAAATATATTGATTATAATTATTTTTTTTTTGAACTCTTTCTAAATTCTATTTTTTTATTACTATTCATTTTCTATTAGTATTATCATTTTTAAGTTTATTATATACAAAATGCCGCTTAATCTTAATTATAAATATTTATTAATTAAAATATTCTCTTTATATTGTATTAATCTTTATGTATAGAATTGTCAAATCCTACTATTCGGTTTATTTTTGAATTAATTAAACACTTTTTATAAGTCAATCAATTAGATATTTAAAAATTGATATTACGATTTTTTATGTTTATTTCCCTTAAATACAAAAAACATTTCAATTTCTAATTAATTAATGATAATAATAATTCTACAGAGGTTCTTTTTAAAATTATATAATTTTAAATAATTCATAATATATAATATTTTAACACATTTCAAGCTATTATTAATTTTTAATAATGAACAATAATATTGGAGAAGATGATGATGATTTACTCATAAGTGGAGCTAGGAACAATAAAAAAGGTTAAATTAATTTAGATTTATCTAATTATTCATGTAACATGTAAGAGTTATTGTTTATTAAGACCTGACATTACACCATCTTTTGATCTAAATAATTTTAAAAAGTATATTCTGAATGAGAATTTGAATATAAATGAGTTTTAGGAACTAATTTTAAATTGTCAATTAAGTTCAATGAAATTAAGATTTAGTGTATGGAGATTATTTTTAGGGATTTATAAAATAAATGATTCATTAGAATAGAAAATCAACAAGCTGAATCAAAATAGATAAGATTATTAAAATTTAAGCAAGCAATATTTATAAGCCGAAACAAAGAAAGAATCAAAAAGAAGTATCAGAAATCCTTTATTATAAAATTAATAAGAATAACAAAAACCAAATGTAAATATATAAATTAATAAAATTAAGGTTTGGAATAACTTTTTTGAGATTAATCACTTAAAAAGTGAAATTAAGAAGGATGTTGATAGAACTCATTAAGATAAATAGTTATTTTAAAGTTTAAAGATTAAGAATTTATTGTCAAACATTTTATTTATATGGAGTGTGAAGAATCCTACAATATCATATAGATAAGGAATGAATGAATTAGCAGCAAATGTAATTGAAGTCTATTTTACAGAAGCATAAGGTTTCAATAACTTAGAAGATAATGATGATAAGAAATAAATTGCAATATTTTTTGATACAAAATTTGCAGAAGAAGATATCTTTTAATTATTTGAATAAATCATGAATGCTCATGTTGATATGTTTAAACATACACCAGAAAGCTAAAAAAAATAATAACTTATAATATAGAATAGAATTTAGAAAATCTATGATTAATATTTGAAAATAATTGATATTACACTATTTAAGCATTTAAAAGTATAAGATGTAGAACTATCAGTATTTTTAGTGAGATGGATTAGGTATATAAATTAATATTAATATTTAGATGTATGTTTACAAGAGAATTTCATGTTGAAGATTCTTTAAAAGTTTGGGATGCTATATTTTATGATTATTATCTTACTGAGGATAAATAATGGCTTTTATTAGTTGATTGTATTGTTATTGCAATGTTTGTTTATGTTCGTAATTAAAGTATTAGATTATATTATATTTTTAGTACTTGAGAAAGATGATCCAAATGCATGTTTGAAAAGATTTCTTAAATATCCTCCTGTAGAAAATTTAGCATAATTGATTCAAGCAGCATTTAGTATTAAAAATGTATTGTAATCTGCAAATCCTGAGTAAGCCCTACTTTAGGATTAATTTTTGATTACATTTTTAGGAAGTAGAGATGTCAGCAAATCTCCAAAAATATTTTAAAATGTTAAGAATCCTGAATTTTCTGATGAAAACAATAAGTAAATAAAATTATAAATTAGATTGTTAGAAGCAATTAATTTAAAATAATAAGACACTATTGAAGTTTAAATTAATTAAGCATAACTTTTACTTAAAGCATTAAATCAAGGGATATTGTGTATTCAAAGATTCAATACAGATAAATCAATTAATGAAGTGAAATAGCTATTAGAAAATGCAAAATCAGAATTATTAAAATGTTTAGATTAACAATAAAATTGAACTCAATTATTATGTGCACCTAAAAGTTCATGTAAACTTTCTTTTTTTTACAATCTGTATATTATTTCAGCTAATAAGGGTGCAACACTTAAAACACTTAATTTGTCTTATAATATTTATTTATCTAATTCTTTAACTTGTATAGTATCAGTTACATAAATCTTGGATAAATTTGAAATTCCTAAATTTAAAGCAGCTTTTCCTGAAAAAACTGGATGAGTCGCATAAGCCATCACAGATTTAGCTCCTTCCTTTTTCAAAATATCAGCTGCTCTACTCAGTGTATTTCCTGAATCCACTATATCATCTATAATCAGACAATTTTTTCCATTAACATCTCCAACTAAACTAATTTCTGTTTCAGTAACTGGATATTTAGATTTATATATCATAGCCAGTTCTATTAAGAAATATTAATTTATTCTTACTTGTCTTGAGATTTGGGAAGGCTATCTTTAATTCATCCTAAAGTTTTTTTGCTCTTGTTATACCATTAAAATCAGGTGAAACCAAAGTCAAATCATTGGGTGGACTTAACTTTAAGGGATGATTATTAAATTCATGAATAAGTGTTAAATATGGTGAAAGATTATCTACAGGGACACTTGTAGAAAAAACACCTTAAAGTTGTCCTCGATGCAGATCAATTGAAACAAGATGATCTATACCAGTCTATTCTAACATTCTAGCTATATCTGCAGCTGCAATTGATTAAGTTTTCATTAATTTATGGTCTTGTCTTGAATATCCATAATAAGGAACAATGACTGTTATTTTTTTCACAGATGCTCTTCTTAAAGCACTTATAAATAAAAATAATTCAATTAGATTCTCATTTACAGGAGGACATGTGGATTAAATGATAAATACATTTCTTCCTCTTACATTATCTAAAACCTAACCATTATAAATAACTTAACTTAAATATTGCATTCTCCATCAGCAAATCTCTATAAAATTGCTTTTCCAAGAGGTACACCTAAGCATTATGCCACCTCATTAGCCAATATTGTATTAGAATTACCACTAAAAATTATTGTTTGTGGTCTAATGAATATTATCAAAATAATTTTACTCAATCTTGTATTATTTCGAATTACTATAGACTTTTGAATAGGTGTCTTCTCTATTGTGAGTAGATAATTTAATCAATGAAGATTTATATAGGAATGGGAAAATAAGATATCTCAAATTTTTCATTTTAATTACTCAAAAGATATGAATAAATATTTAGATGTAAATTTATAAGAATAATCTATAAAATGATACTCTTGAATATATTTAAACATTAAATATAACGACGATAATGATGAGATAATTTACTTTCATTAGAGAAATCATAATTATTTATAATTTATCTCAATATTAATATTATATCATATACTGAGAATAATCTATAATCATAATAAATATTAGCCAACCGATTTTATTTTATCAGTTGTTTATAATACCAAGTCTAATTTCTTAGGATCTACTCTGTAAGTACTTATCATCAATTTTGTGCTTTATTTCTTAGTTTTTTTTCTCTTATACGTTGTTTTTGGTAATATTCCTCTTTAATGATCAATTGAATATTATCGATCTTTTTCTGTCGGAAAGTCAAGATCACATTGATTAACCTACAAAATACATTATTTATATTACTTCTTTATCATATTAAGAATTGAAAGATTAGAACAATTTTAACATTTCTGTTTCTTATTTAAATTCTTTAATTCTATTCATTTATTTTTCTATTTCTACTGGATCCAATTTACTTAAAAATTTCAAATTCTTTTTTATTGGAGAATTGATATCTTATAAAAATGCCTTCTATTAACCTGGAAAAGATGTTTAAACTTAATCTTCAAATTTTAAAAACTAAATCTTATTTGAATCATCTTTTCCCAATAATTTCAACTTTTATTCTGAAAGATGTCCCAATTCATCATAACAATTATCTAAATTATTATTAAATATTAATTCTTATTTTGCTGCATTTTAAATTTGTTCTTAACGTTACTTGTCTAATAAATAATATTTAATATAATACATAACATAATCTAATATTTCACATCTTGATCTGCTATTGATTCTAATTGATTAATTAACTATTCAATAATAGCACGCTTTTATGATAATGGCATATCATCAGGAATTTTATATTACTCCATTAATTCTCTTTCATATTTCATTTTTTCAAGTTATTTCTAATATTCCATTTATCTTTATCTTTCTTTTTCTTATTATTCAATTTTTTTTGGCTAATTTAAATTAAATTTAATCATACATCATGAGGAGAATTTTAATTTGAAGATTTACGTCTAGCAAAATTTAAAGCAGCTGCTGCAACAGGTAATTTGAGTTACTTTGTATTTTTGACTGCCTTTGATCTATTTGATTTCTCACCTTAAGAAGATTCTATTGTTAATTTACTTTCAGGTTAACTTTCATCTGATCTTTATTATTACTATTATTATTACTCTCTTACTAAAGTCTTTTATTTAGATGATGATTTATTATTTTTAGTACTATTTTATGTATTATTAATTGGAATCAACATCCTAGATTAACTTTAATTGGTTGAAAATTGATTTGATTATAAAGGTATTTAAGAATGTGATGGTTAATTTCTATCTGATGGAGATATTTATTATCTTTGTTAAGAATGAAATTAAGATGCACTTTATTATTTTTGATCTTCCAATTTTAGATTGTTGAAAGATGGTGTAATATGTTATTAATTAGGCATTCTATATATAGGAGAACATTCTATTGATTCTTCAATAATGACATTATTGGTATTTTATGTAGGTTCACATTAATTTACCTATATGTTTATTTATTGACTTTAATTTGAATAATGTTCATCATCATGCATAATTGATGTCATACTTATTTATTACATCAATTATATCTATTGATATTTTTATTATTATTAATCAATATTATCATGAGTCTAAAATTATGGATAATCTTATTATATATTTGATTCAATATGAGTAGTAGCAGGTCTGATAGCATTTAAATGAGAATGTAATTTCTCTTATTTTTATAAAGATTAATCTAATGATGAAATTTAAGACTCCTCTTTAGATATGGAATTTTATTATTAATATTATTAAATTTCTGCTATTTTTTATTCATTTGATTACATAGTTTTTAATTTTGTTTTTGTTGATTTACCTGATTGTAATGTTCGAGAAGATTATGGAGGAGATAGAAAAATAGGGTTTTTTTATACTTCATCAACCTTAGGACTCATTAAATTATTGCTCTATTCACTCTTTATTATTGTTTCATCTTACTTAATATATTCAGATTTCTATTATTATTTATTTTTATCTTATTTGTTTTACTTTAAATACATTTGTTCTTAATTTTTATCTAAACATTTTGCACTCTAAATTGTTTGTTACTTTTATTTAACATCCTTATCCAAAAAAGGTAATTCTGTTTGAGTACCATATGTTATTTATTTCAACCTATCACTTTAAGTCATAGGTCTTCTTTATGAACTAAAATCATCATCATTACTATAATATTTTTATAATTTCTCTTTTAAATCCATTTTACTTGAATCACTACCCATAGGAAAATTTTAAGATTGTTTTCTAGAATAACTTTATGCTTAAGAATATTATGGATTAACTGATTCACTTATTAAATTTGAATCTATAATCTCTATCTTGGATTAACCATTCATAGTTTATAAATTCAATTAAGGTTCCAAATATGGTTGATTATGTTTTTAAGCTAAGTTTTCCTAACTTTTATTTCCTTTTATTGATTAATCGTTGAAATTATTTTTGTAATTTTTACCTAATTATTTTGTAAAATCTTCTTATTTTTCTATCTCCCCATCTTAACTTACAATATTTATAGTAGGCTTCTAATTTCTATTCTTAAAATTACTATCAATAGCTGTCAACTATTTTTAAATTGACAATTCTTTCAGTTAATTATCAGCTTAAGTACTATTAGGACTATTCAATTAAAATGGATTAATAACTCTTGTTGTTGTTGAATCATTTTATTGATAACTTCCATTAGTAAGTAATCTATGCCCATCTTGATTACTTGATTTATCTAATCTAAATCTTCTACTTTTAACAGATTGTGGTTGAGCATAGAATTGAGTTTCTATTTCAGTTGTTTACTATTCTTTATTATCTTACTTCTTCTTACTAGATAAACATATATAGTTTTTTCTTGAATCTATTGATTATGAAACGACAGTTCTAATTTCATAATTTATTTTAAGATCTTTGATTGGTGTTTAATTCTTCAATAGATTTCGTTTGATTGTTCCCAAGATTTATTAATGTAATGGTTAAATCAACTTTTTTTCCTTTTGCTTTTTCTATAATAATTCACAAAATTAAGCTTGATCAACAAAAGATATTGAAGATAAGAAACCTGCTAAGACCCTTTCAACTATAGTTAAAATAAAGAGTTCTTCTCTTTAAATATTCCTTTTATTATTCAACTCAAATTCATAAGTTTTCATTTTATATTATTATTTTTTTATTAAAATTTATTTGATGAAAATACATTATAAAAAAGAAAATAACTAAAGTTGACCTTTTAAATCAGACTACTCTATAAAGACTCATAATATTTGCTAATAAATTAGTAAATAGTATAATTTGAAATAGGTGAACTGTTTAAATATATTTTTTAATTGAAATGAAAATAAATATATCTGGAAATAAAAAAAATAGAATATTCTCTAACAAAATAAGTTAATTTATTTATTTGTAGACATCTATTTCAAGGAAATTGATAATACATTATATAAATAATTATTAGATTATATATTATTGTATATGGGATTTAGAATGTTGGTGTCTTCAACTTTTTCTAGAATTTCATTAAAGGATTATACAATATATTTAATCAATTATTAGATAATTTTAATTATTAATTACATTAGATATTATTCAAAAGAATATGTTAAAAATTAAATAAATAAATAACAAAAATTAATATAATTATTATATTTAATATGGATCATTTTGAATAACCATCAGCAAAATTGCTTTATCTTATTAATGAAATGAATAGATTGAATATGATTACTCAATTAGAGAAATGCACTTTGAAATGTAAGTATAGGTTGTGATGGTAGAGTTTGTTTTGTAGGAGCATTAAGGAATATATGATCTTTTAAAATAATATCCAAAGAGTGACACAGAACTTGATTTGGCTGAGGCAATAATAATCTTATTGAGAGGAGCTCCAAATTCAGAGTGTAATAATTAATTATTAATGTAGAATAATAAGTTTAGGATGACAGTGAATATTAAGCGGATTTGTAAATATAGGAAGATGTAAGAAATAACTGAATATTAATTAAAGCTTTAATCTCCTTTGGGTAATCAACTAATGTGGAGAAAGAAGGGACAATAGAAAAAAAATAAACATCAGGACAACAAGCCATTTGAATTGAATAAAATACAATGAGTTAGTTTCACAGAAATAGATATATAATATATATATATATTCATATAAATTGTCAATCCAATAAATATAATCCAATAAAGATCATAGCTATTTATGAATATGAGGATGAAGTTGTAATTGTAATATTGGCAGCCTCAATTTATGGAGTGACAGTATCAATAACAATTTTACTAGGAAGTCCAGAATTGCATCTTTCAAGTTTAGAATCCCAATAACATTGAGATGTAGCACTTTATCTGGCTTCACAACTTTTTTAATCTAATTTAGCACAAATGATCAAACACATCTTTGATCCTGAATGCCATATACATTTATCAGGGAACAAAGCTATATAATATAGAAAACAAAGTATACCACAAGAGTCTTCAACATATTAAGCACATTAAATGGAATTACATTTATTATTACTATAATAACAATTTCCACTATATTTTGAACATTCACATCTATCTACAACATCTTCACATCTTAAACATTGAAAATCTTAAGAGAGTATACAAACATGATCATTGATTTCAGTACCAACACAATTAATTTTGCTAGATCCCAAAGGTCTAATTAATAAATAATATGTATACTTGCATTAATTATGAGAACATTCATATGAATCTGCATATTAATATGCTCGTTACCAATAGCATTGATTTCCCATGATCTTGGCAGTATTACAATCCTTTTTCAAATTATCTGTATTATCATAATACATTTATAATTTATAACAAGAATCTAAACCAATACATAATCCATTAAACCAAAAACAAGTACCATCTTCATAGGTACCCATACATTATTCCTTTTTAGTAAATGTTTAACATAATCTTTAAGCACAATAAGAACCAGTCCAATAACAAGATCCATTACATTAAGCATCTGTTAAATTATCTACACATTATTTAATTCTACAAACATCATTAACATATGGTTAACAATATTATCCATTTATTAAATATTTAGTACAATCAGTTACATTTCTAACTTCATTACATGTTTTAGCTCCACGACATGTATTTTTAGATGTTAGATAACAATATTAATTATTCATAGTAACATTTGTACAATTAGAAGTTGATAAATCTGAACAAAGTTTAGCTCTACATTTTTAAGATGTATCATCCCATAAACACTATTATGATTATATTTTGCATGTTGAATAATCATAATCTGCACAAAATTTAACTCCTTATAATATTGATGAACATGTACAATATTTCTCATCTTTATGCCATTTACATACACTAAGGGAATTACATCCAAATTCATTTATTCCTGGACTTGAACATAAATCATAATTATAAACAGAAACACATTTATTATTTAATTTGCTAAATTTACAAAGTTAAGTAGAATCTGAAATATCTGCACATACTTAAGGTGATACATTAATTAATTATCTGCATTAAGATGATGTTGGTTAATATATTTAACATTACCCATTTAAATAAATACATTATTCTAAAGTTATCATTGTACAAGCTATATCATTAAGACCTGGAGTGTTACATTTTGCAACTAATAGATCAATTTAAGTAGTACAACCTTTACCTGTATGTCTGCAAGGTAATCCTCCAAATGAAATCATTTAACAACTCATTACTGAAGAATATTCAGCAGTTGAAAATGTACCTTAATCTCCACAAGATGTGACACCTGTAATTATATTTTATGGCATGCATTTATTATTTAACCATTAACATGAATTTGTAATTTATTAAACACAAGCTTCTTTACTTAAACTATCTGTACATTATTATTAATTAGTAGCATCAATACAATTAAAATTATTCCAAGTACATTTTAAAGATGGTACTTATTCACAAACACCAGCAGATACTTTTAAATAATCTGAACATTTAATCTTACCATCAAATTAAGTAAAAGGAACACATTTAGATCCATTCCAAGTACATGCTCCAGCTTTTGTTTATAAACATCCATAATAATTTAAACCAGGAGTATCACATAAATCAACTAATGGATCAGATTATATACAACCATCAGTTCCAAATTTAACTCCAATTGGATTAGTTATTTTACTATTTGGTTAACCATCAATTGTATATGTTTTTGTACAAGTGTTTGAATTTACATTTGAATATTTACCAAGAGGGAATCCATCATCCTTTAATGTAGAACACTATTATCCTAACCAAACACAAAACTATCCTGGAGTTGTAATTGCAACACAAGTGAAAACATTTATTGTATCTGTACATAATGTATTTTATGGATCTGCATATTAACATTTATTATCCTTATAAATGCATAATTAAATAGGTTCATCATTCAATACTGCTTCACAAGCTCTTATATTAATATCATCTTAACATCTTGAAATATTGGAATCAACTGAATAACACTCTCCTTCCCACCATTCAGTTAATTCTCCTTCATTTTATGGTGATAAACATAAAGTTCTTTAAGAATTAGCAACTTATTTATAAGTAAGATTTTTAGCTAAAGAGAGATCAGTCTATGATTTACAAATTGAATCAATATCCCAATAGCAGTATTTTTCATCTGGAAGTGATTTACATCCAAAAGGTGATAATGCTTCACTACATTCTGTAGGTGTGCTTGTATCAGATGTACATTTTAATGTATCTTTTTTCAAATAACAACCCTCCCAATAGCATAGTTCAGCTGAAACTATTGCTTGAACCTCTGACTCTGGTTTAGAATCAGAAACACATTTAATTTCAGTTTCATCTAAATAATCTTTGCATAATAAACTATCTAAATCCCATTAACAAAAAAGGGATCCTGTCAAACAAGCATATTATGTATAATTATCTGAACAAACTTTTGCTTTCACAAGATTTTAAACACATTTAGATTTTTCAAATTTGCAATCAGCTTTAACATTTTTGCAATCTAGTGAGTCAGTTGTAGATTTGCAACTAACAGCAACTATTTCTTCACATAATTTTGATGTTTCATTTTATGCACATATTTTAGTATCAATAGATGCCCATACACTTCCACAAGTATATGAACTGTATTCATAATTAGGATTGTTATATTCTAAACACTCTAAATCTGGAGCAATTAGACAAAGTGAATTAACTTTATCCCAAATACACTAACTTTATACTTACATACAATTATCATTGCTAGTGGCATATTAACAAGGACTATCTATCTTTTTACATTAATACAGAGGTTTTTCAACATAAGTATCTCCCTAAATAACAGAATAAAACTAATTGAATTCACAACTATTTTCTTGTAAACAATTTTACTCATTTTATCCAATATTGCATTCAGCATACTAGGTTGAAGCTGAAATACATAGATGTGTTATTTTATTATATTTACATTTTTCTCCTTCTTTCTATATTTTTGCACAAGAAACAGCATTCACATTATCTGTATATGTTGTACATATATCATTATCAAGATCTTAAGTTAAGGGAGTACATGAACCACCAACAAATGAACAAGATTCACCAGCAACTTTATAACAGGCTTTTTCATTATCATTTGCATCTGCACATTTATAATCCTTAGCATTTGAACTTTTAATCAGAATACATTTATTATCAACAAAAACACAAGGTTAACTAACGGCTTTACAAGCAGCTGCATCAAAAGCTTCACTACATTTATCTGGATTATAACATTTTTTTTCAGTATCATCCCATTAACAATTTTAATCATTTGTAGTAACTAATAGACATAAATCTTTATTGGCTTATTTACACATTATTTAATCTAGAATTGTAGGTTTATCAGCATCTTCTAATTTCAAACATTAAAATAAAGTAGTATTAAAGTAACAATTTTATCCTTCAGTTTTTGCAACACAAGCATGTAAATTAGGAAACTTTCCTGAAAAACAATTAGCTTCGTCACCAGAAGTATGTACAAATTAGATACATTTATTTTTTGTATCAGTAGGTCCTGGTTTAGTACAAAATGAATATTCACTTATGTAATATTCTACATCATTTTCATAACCAAGACATGTGATATCATTAACATCTGTTAAATATTCACATGATTCATATGTTGGCATTTTAATTTCTTCACATAATCTTTTTAAAGTATTCCATTAACATCTTTATCCCTAAGTAGTTATTGAAAGACAAGCAAATTTATTTGGGAATGATTTACCACAATAAATTTTATTCAATTAAGTAGCAGCTGGACTACATTACAAATTTGTTGTATCAAAATAACAAGATAAATCACCGTCTGGTTCTATAAAAGCACATGCATTTCCATTCAAAACACTATCTTTACCAACTACAAATTATGTACAACTCTTTGCAGTCTTTGTTATACTTGTTGTACATTTAGTTTATGTCTCATCATATCCACATACTTCTCCTGTTATTAAAGCACAAGCTTTAGCAGTTACATTAACTAATCCTGAACAAGCTGATGTCACAGATGTTAGTTATGTACATCCTAAACTTGTCCATTTACATGCTATTGTAGGATCTATTACATCTAAACATCCTCTTTTATTTAATCCTTAAGTGATACAATTTATTGTAAAAGGAGGTACTAATTCTTTTTGAAATAATTAACATGAATAATTAGTTGGATTATATTTACAATGCTCTTCTTATCCATTACTTTTAAATGAAACCATTCTACAAGCAAATTCATTAACTAATTTTAATGATTCACAAGATGTTTAATTTTCAACAACATTAACATTTTAACAAATACCAGCTTCTTTACTCCATTAACATGGTCCCATATTACTTTATAAACAACCAATTCTATTCAATCCTCTAGTTGTGCAACTAACTTTTGCAACAGCAATTTTACAATTTCCATCAACCCAATAACATGCTGAATCAGTAATTCTCCTACATGCATTCTCATTTACAGATTATAGATTTTCACATGTTTCAAAAAAATCTAATTTTAATACACCACATTTTTTATTATTTTTATCATATTTACAAACTTATCCAACAGCTATTATATTTTAACAAGCTTATTTGTTTAAATTATCACCACATTTAACTGTTGATAAATCAGTAATCTATCTACATATTCCATTTACAAATTAACAATTTTCATTAACATTCATACAAGAAAATTAATTTTATCCAAGCAATCCACATTAAGATTTTACACCTTTAAAAAGACATTAATTATTTTAATATACACAATTATAACTTGAAGAATTACAACTTTTTTAACTTGTTATTACTTAAAGTGATTTTGATCTACATAATTCACTACATTTTTATTTTTTTTAATAATAGAAACATTCTTAATCATTTCCAGATTTGTCTACATAATTAATTGCAGCACAAAATGATGGAGAAACAGGTTAAATTTTAATATTACAATCTGCCATACCAGTATATAATTAACATCCATTACTCCAAAAACATGGTTATTTGATATTTGTTATACTAAGACATGCTTCCTTATTAATATTATCTTGGCATAATAGATTTGAAAAATCTGTTACATTAACACATTAACCATTCTAAAATTTACACTTCATTCCTGGAGTTGTAATATTTTTACAAGCAGCTGAATTCAAACCAGCAGCAGTACAAGGTAATAAATTTAATAAATTAACATCAACTTCAAGGCATCCTGGAATAGCCAACATAGCTTTGTATTTATTTAACATAGCATTATCTGAACCATACTTATCAATTAATTGAATTATGTAAGGAAAAGCACTAGATTAATGAACTACAGAAATTCCTGTGATTGATTGACATATTGATATATTGACTTAATTCATAAAAGAAGGGTCAGATTAAGCTTTTGCTAATTATTCTTAAAATTGTTATCCTGTCATGTCCAAACAAAATCCTTACCATTAACAAGGTTTTCCAACAACAGCCAAACATGCTGGCTTTGAAAGAGATGAAGAACAAGATGTTGAACTTGTAATTTCACGACAATATCCAGAAAACCGACCTATTATATTATTAAAGTTATTACAATAAGCCCAATCCTAGTTCGGATATTACAATTAATTAATGCATGCTAATCTATTGAGTGTTGCAGAACAACCAATATTATTGGATTCTGTTGCTTAACAGGCACTCAAAAAGTCATTCCAAGAACCTTATTTTATTTCAAATTTCATTACATTTTTCAAAAGTTGATGAAACACATCCAACCTCATCATATATAAATAGACCACATGGCTTTTATGCTGATATACAGGTCATGATTAGAAATAACAAGCAAAATGTTTGTTGTTATGTAATCATAATATATTATATAAATAAATGTAATCATAATATATTAAATCAAATGAATATTTAAATGATATAATAATTACATTAGAATCATTAAAAATATTGGAGGCAATATCTAATTTAATAACTTACAATATTAAATAATAAACAAAATTCAATTCGGAAAAACATTTTTAATATATACAAGTTGTTAAATAAATATCTTATTAAATACTTATTACCATCTATAAAGTAGAAATATCATAATTGAAGAATATATAGATACTTATAACAATCATTTTTAAATACAATTTAAAATAATATCTAAATGATATAAAATATAATACTAAAATATTTGCAAATCATTTTTTAATTATCTAATAATTGAATAAAGTAGAAAAGTCTTATTATTATATAACAATATAAATAATATCTATAATAAAATTTTAGATATATATCTAATTTAAGTTAATTAAAAATGTTATATATATGCATCAAACACTTTGTATTACTAAATAAAGTATTTGAGAATTGATAGATATTTCTATTTTTAATAAAAATGAAAGAATAAGAATGACTTTAAATCAATTTCTTAAGGATTGAAATTTATAGTTGTTTAAAATAGATTGTTTCATTTTTATTGGATTTCAAAAATAAATTAATTTCTAAAATAGCTTACATAATTAACAAAACAACTCTAGTAATAAAATTGATATTATCATTTAAAGATTAAGGTTTCTATTTAATTACCTTATCAAAAAGTATTAAAAATTAAATAAGATTTTATTCCTAAAGATTATTTTCTTACTATAATTATTATGAAACAAAACAAAAATTTTGAAGAAAAATGAGTATTTATATAATAATAAAGAGATAAAATTATGTTAATTCGGAAGTGTATGAAAATATTTAATTTATAAAATTTTATTTAATAAAATCTAGAAAAGTTCAAGTCATAAGGTTTAGATTTAAAAAAAATATTGATAAATAAATTCATTTTAAATATCTTTATGTAATAAAAGCCAGACTTCAGAAAGGAATTAGCCGAAACAGCTTAAAAGATTTGCACTCCAGGAAAAGGAATCTTGGCAGCTGATGAAGTATCTCATAAATTTTTAAAGTTTAGTCTTAAGGAACAATTGGAAAGAAATTTGTCGCAATTAATGTTGAAAATAATGAAGAAAACAGAAGAGCCTACAGAGAATTATTGTTCACTGCTCCAGGCATTGAAAATTACATTAGTGGTGTCATCCTCTTCTCCGAGACTGTATTTACATTCATTAATTATTTTTATAGGTTAAACACGCTACCAAAGATGGAAAGAACTTCGTCTAATTGCTTTAAGAGAAAGGCATTGTGGCAGGAATCAAAGTTGATAAGGGTTTAGGTGTACTTCCAGGAACACAAGATGAATCAGCAACTCTTGGATTAGACTCCTTAGCTAGTATGGCTGCTGAACACTATAAACTTGGATGCAGATTTGCCAAATGGAGAGCAGTCTTGAAAATTGGCAATGGCTTACCATCATAATAAGCCATCTAAGAAAATGCATGGGGATTGGCCAGATATGCAGCAATCTGTTAAGAGAATGGTCTTGTTCCAATTGTTGAACCAGAAATCTTAGCTGATGGAGATCACTCAATTGAAGTTTGCTAAAAGGTCACAGAAAAAGTTTTGGCTGCCGTATTCAAAGCATTGAATGAAAACAACATCTTTTTGGAAGGATGTCTTCTTAAACCCAATATGGTTACTGCAGGTTCAACAAATGCAGATAGAAACAAGATTACACCATAAGAAATTGGATACAGAACAGCTTTGGCTTTAAGTAGAACAGTTCCCCCTGCTCTTGTTGGAGTCACAGTAATTAAATATATTTATAGTATATAGTTCCTTTCAGGTGGATAATCTGAAGAAGAAGCTTCTTTGAATTTGAATGCTATGAATTAATTGACCACAGTGAGAAAACCATGGGCTTTGACTTTCTCTTATGGAAGAGCACTCTAAAATACTGCAGTGAAGACATGGGCTGGAAAATAAGAAAATTGGGAAGCAGCTTAATAAGCATTATTGACAAGAGCTAAGGCTAACAGTGAAGCTTAATTAGGTATTTTAATAAATATTATAAAAATAGGAAAATATCAAGGTGGATAAGGTGGAGCATCCAACGAATCCTTGTTTGTAGCTGATTACAAATATTGAGTATCATGAAATATCATAAAATAAAACACAATCATCATTATTAAAACTGGAATCTATAGAAAATACGTATTATCATTATAAATAAAATTAAATTTATTTATGATGTTACGCATAGTATTTTAATGATGCGTATAATTTTTGTACTTTATGAAGGTATTCGTAATTTGTATCCTAATATTAAATGTAAAAGCTCTAATTGCTCTAAAATCAGTTCAACCCAACTTCTGACGATATCTTCTTTCATATTGTCTAAGCTCCTCCTGATCCTATTTTTGGAATAGCTAATGCATATAAAGCAGACACATCATCTACTAAAATAGATTTAGGAGTTGGTGCATATCGTACAGATGAAGAGAAACCCTACGTTTTTGAAATAATTAAGAAATTAGAAAAAGAAATAGTTAATGATCCAACATTAAATAAAGTATGATGTATTATGAATATTCTAGGAATATTTACCAATAGAAGGATTAGCTGATTTTAATAAGGGTTGTTAAAAATTGATGTTCGGATAAAACAGTCCTTTAATAGCATCTGGATAAATTGTCACAGCTTAATGCTTAGGAGGAACAGGAGCACTTAGAGTTGGATTTGAATTTGTTAAAAGACATATTCCAGGAGATGTTTATGTATCAAAACCTACTTGGAGTAATCACAATTAAGTCATTGAAAGAGCTGGTTTAAATTAATTCGAATATCCATATTTTGAACCAAAAACTAAAGGTTTTAATTGTGCAGGAACTATTGAATGTTTATCATAAGCAAGAATGGGATCAATTGTTTTATTACATGTTTGTGCTCATAATCCAACAGGTGTTGATCCAACAGAAGCTGAATGGTTATAAATTGCTGATGTTTGTAAAAAAAGAAGATTAGTACCATTCTTTGATTGTGCTTATTAAGGATTTGCAAGTGGATGTATTGAAAAAGATGTTTTTGCTGTTCGTAAATTTGCAGAACTTGGATTCTAAATGATTGTTGCTTAATCTTTTTCTAAAAATATGGGATTATATAATGAAAGAGTAGGAGCTATACATATTGTTACATCCAATAAAGATATTTCTGCAAGAGTTTTAAGCAATCTAAAAATTGTTATTAGAACTATTTGTTCTAATCCTCCTGCTATTGGTGCTAGAATTGCAGCTAAAATACTTACAGATGAAAAAAATTTTAATGCTTGGGTTGAAGAATTAAAGACTGTTACTGGAAGAATTATTAAAATGAGAACTCTTCTTAAATAAGAATTAGATAATCTAAAAGTTCCAGGAAATTGGGATCATATCACTAGACAAACCGGTTTCTTCACATTTACAGGTTTAACTCCAGAATAATGTGATCTATTAACAAAATAATATCATGTATATTTGCTTAGATCTGGAAGAATGTCAATGGTATTATTATATATTAATAAATTATTAGGCTGGAATTACATCCAAGAATGTTAGATATTTGGCTGAGTCAATCAAAGCTGTTGTTTAAAATAAATGAGATTTATTTTTACATTATCATATAATCTATTAATATGAAGGTTTTAGTATATTTTTTTTATTTTCAATTTTATATTAATAGAAATCAACCATTCTATAAATATGACAAAAACTTTTAAATGGGAGATATGTATTTTATAATAGTTTATTTCACATTTGGATAAATTAGGTTTAGCCTCTAAAATTAGAATAATAAATAATGAACTTATAATTCCAAAATTAATATATATATACACAAGAGTAATTACGCATAAGGATATATACTAAAATAAATCAAATTTAGATTATTTTCTAAATTATAGACTCTAGCTTTATTACATAATGCAAAGTGTAAGGCGATAATTGGTTTATATTTTTCATATTTATTAAACAATTGGTTTTTTGATCAAAAAATAAATTATTTAATTCATATATAATAGAAATACTAGAAAATTCCTGTCTAGGTATAATATTCTTAAAATTGCAAATAACTAATATTATTATAGACTAGAATGATAAGAAATCTTTCCTTAAGTAAAATTGAATTTAGTATTATAGGTAATTGAATAATTAAAAATTGATTTAACTGATTTTTAAATGATAATTCAGTTAAATCAATAGAATGATTGAAAACTTCTACAAAAAAGAGTTCACTTCGTTCTTGTTTATATTAATCACATTTTAATAAGAGGTATCTTTAAAAGAATAAAATGGTTAAATGTAGTTAAATTCATTTTAAAATATAAAATACTTCATCTTCTTTATTTATTTATTTTCAATGACCAAGATTTTTAAATCTAAGTGTGATTCTCCTTAACAATAAACCAATTAATATATGTATAAAAGATTGTTTACTACTTAAGAATGTTTATTTAAGGGAGTAAAAACTAATTATACAAAAATAAGGTGAGAATTCAATTAAAACAGAATTTTTTCACATTTATCTAACAGGAAATTTAAATGAAAAAATAAAATAGACTTACTTATTCTTATAAGAGATAAGAGGATGAATAAAAATGAATTTTAATCAAATATTGAATTAAAATTAACAATAAATAAAATATTTTTCATTGAAATCTAATTATAAACTTTTATGTTATGTTATACATTAAAAAATAACTCTATAAATAAAACATCATTTCATTATGCAGTAGTCAAGGTTGTACTCTCTTTTAATCTACGATTTAAAATTGGATTCCTATATGCATTATAAGGAATATCAATAGACGTTCTCTAATTCAAAATTTCTTCTGGACAAGGAGAAGTCTTCATTTGTTTTACTATATAATCTAGTTCACCTTCTTTTAATTACTTTTCTTTCCTTTATTTCTAGTTACTCATGCAAATTCCCATTTAAGAATTTAATTTAATTANTTAATATGAAGGTTTTAGTATATTTTTTTTATTTTCAATTTTATATTAATAGAAATCAACCATTCTATAAATATGACAAAAACTTTTAAATGGGAGATATGTATTTTATAATAGTTTATTTCACATTTGGATAAATTAGGTTTAGCCTCTAAAATTAGAATAATAAATAATGAACTTATAATTCCAAAATTAATATATATATACACAAGAGTAATTACGCATAAGGATATATACTAAAATAAATCAAATTTAGATTATTTTCTAAATTATAGACTCTAGCTTTATTACATAATGCAAAGTGTAAGGCGATAATTGGTTTATATTTTTCATATTTATTAAACAATTGGTTTTTTGATCAAAAAATAAATTATTTAATTCATATATAATAGAAATACTAGAAAATTCCTGTCTAGGTATAATATTCTTAAAATTGCAAATAACTAATATTATTATAGACTAGAATGATAAGAAATCTTTCCTTAAGTAAAATTGAATTTAGTATTATAGGTAATTGAATAATTAAAAATTGATTTAACTGATTTTTAAATGATAATTCAGTTAAATCAATAGAATGATTGAAAACTTCTACAAAAAAGAGTTCACTTCGTTCTTGTTTATATTAATCACATTTTAATAAGAGGTATCTTTAAAAGAATAAAATGGTTAAATGTAGTTAAATTCATTTTAAAATATAAAATACTTCATCTTCTTTATTTATTTATTTTCAATGACCAAGATTTTTAAATCTAAGTGTGATTCTCCTTAACAATAAACCAATTAATATATGTATAAAAGATTGTTTACTACTTAAGAATGTTTATTTAAGGGAGTAAAAACTAATTATACAAAAATAAGGTGAGAATTCAATTAAAACAGAATTTTTTCACATTTATCTAACAGGAAATTTAAATGAAAAAATAAAATAGACTTACTTATTCTTATAAGAGATAAGAGGATGAATAAAAATGAATTTTAATCAAATATTGAATTAAAATTAACAATAAATAAAATATTTTTCATTGAAATCTAATTATAAACTTTTATGTTATGTTATACATTAAAAAATAACTCTATAAATAAAACATCATTTCATTATGCAGTAGTCAAGGTTGTACTCTCTTTTAATCTACGATTTAAAATTGGATTCCTATATGCATTATAAGGAATATCAATAGACGTTCTCTAATTCAAAATTTCTTCTGGACAAGGAGAAGTCTTCATTTGTTTTACTATATAATCTAGTTCACCTTCTTTTAATTACTTTTCTTTCCTTTATTTCTAGTTACTCATGCAAATTCCCATTTAAGAATTTAATTTAATTATTTTAATTGAGTATTAACGAAATAAATATTTGTAAGAAATTAAAAGCAAATAAACGCAATATTCTTTTATTTTAATTCAAATAAATTAAAGCAGATCTAATTAAAAATCAAAATTTTATCAAGAATTCTCTCTTTAAAAGTGAATTTCCATTTATTATATAAGAATGTTAATTTAAATATTCACTAAGTAATATAATTATTTGTTATAGCAAGTATAAATTAAAGTTGCATTCTAAATGAGATTAAATTATCAATAAAATATAAAATTTTGATTTAGATAGTGTTCTTATTAATTACTTGAATATTTTTGTAATATTGTCTTTAATCATTATGTTTAGTAATGTAATTATCATTCGTTAATTACAGGTTTCACATAGCAGAATCCTATATATTTTTATTTATTATGAAATTATAAAAATATTATTTAGTTATGATTATTAGATTGATTAAACTATAAAAGAATTTATAAAACATATTGATTCTAGATATTAACCTTATCTTTATATATAACGTACAAGATAAATAAGTCAATTTAAAAGAAAATAATATATCATTCTGTTTAGGTCTATGGATTTGGTGAGGTTGGAATCTCTTTCAATCTTCTATTAAGAATTGGATTTTTATAAGGATTTAAATGTGATGATTAACTTGCTCTCTGTTTCAAGATTATATTACAGTCTTATGATAGTCTAACTTGAGCTACTACTTATTATAATTAACCATCATTTGTTGATCTTTTTTATTTTTGAGCAGCACAAGTTCCCATATAAATATTAATATTAAAAGTAGATTTTTTGTTTTTTTGATTTATTTTTATAATTAATTTACTATTTAGTCAATAAGACAGTTAGATTACTTAACATAATATTCAATATATTATTATAATAATTATCAATTTTTTCCATGAACAAAACTATAAAAAGCATCTTCATCCTCCTTATTTTTAAATGGTCCAGCTATAAAGTTAATAGTAAGAATTTCAGAAAATCCTTCATCTTAAGTAGGTGGTTTTATTTTTGAATAGATCATGTTGATGGGCATTTTACCAACTTTTTTTGAAAAGTGTTCTCTAAAATTATTAGTATCTCTTTATGTATCATTATGTAGACATAAATCTTTAGAAACATTTAAGAAAAAGGCTCTAACTGGATATTTATTATCTTTAGCTAATTTAATAAATGCTGCTCTATCTTCAACTGTTGGATTGGTATTGTCAATTACTACATATTTCTTTTCTTAAATTGCCTATTCTGCAACTTTAAGACATTTTTCTTTAGTTTTTAAAGCATCTCTATTAACTCTAGTATATTCATTTAAATGATTATTAACAAATGTTGATTTACCAGATCCAGGTGCTCCTATCATAATGATCACTTAAAATATTATTAAAACTTACTTTCTGGTTTATCAGGTTTTGTAAATTTGTTAACATTTTATTCCTTAAATAAGAATCCATCTTTAGGAATACTCTTAGGATTAAATCCAAGTGATTTTGAATAATCTTCATCAACATCTTCCTTTAAAAATAATTGTTCTGGAGTCTTAAATATCAAACCTAAATTTAATGCAAATTTCCTTAAATAATTATATAATAATATATACAAATCTGTATCTGTAAAGTCTTTTACTTTCCCTTTTACTCTTCCTGCAGCATCTCCACAATAAATACTTTTTTTCATATCTGCTTTAGTTCCTGTTAATTCCTAGAAATCTGTCCACATATCTAAAATTAATTTTAGAGTATTACCTACTCGAGGCTTTCTGTAATTATCATCACTTGAAGCTATGAATGCAGCTAAAGGTATCTTAAGTTCTTTTTATAAAGATTCAATTTTTGTTTTTATATCAGATTCTTTTGTGTGTCCCTTTTCTATACCATTTTGGTTAGTAAATATTACTATAGAGTATCCTTATTTTGAGTATTCTTAAATTGTTGGAATTACTTTTGGATTCCACCATTGCCAATCATTAGCATCCTTTGCAAACTTTTTTCCAGTTTTAGTTTTAATCAAGGTTTCATCCATATCAAACCCTAAAACCAAGGGTTATGGTTTAAAATCCTTAAATTAAATGCTATTATTACAATTGTCCCATAAATAAGAGTGCCCTTCTTATTCCAATCCCAATCTTAAGCTTTTTTTTATTTCATTTAAATAATAATAAATTTATATCAGAATTTGATATAAGACTCAAAAATTTCAATATTTATTTATGAATTCAATATATATTAATTTGATAATACAAACAAAAATAATGATCAAAAACAATCAATTTTCATTCTTAATCAAATTGTGATTGATATAATAATCCTATTCTTAACTAATTATTAGATTATATTTAAGTGAAATTATGAAATTTTTAATTAGAGAAAGAATTGAAAAGTTATTTTAGTATTAAATATACACCTATATCATAATGATGCTTTATTTATAAACATAAGATGTATGAAATTATTTGATAATTCTTTGATTTTATTTATTTATAAATTTCATGATCATTTTGGATTGCTCAGTTAATTCTTGACAGATTGTACATCTTTCAAAACTGGACACTTTAGGTTGGAATTTGTATCAAAAAATGGTTGATTTCCATTTAAAAAATATACTGCAAATAATGCAGTGCTTCCACTTACGATTGCTAATATAGGCTTCATTATTTTATATTAAATAATTATAGTATTTTAATCAAAATAATTATAGAAACCATCTTCAAATAAATATATATATAATTTATCTTATAAATAATCTAATATTTTTGAGCTATGAATAATTCAATCTATTAAAGATAATTATAATTAAATGATTTTATCAATATTTCTTTAAAAATTAAATAATAATCACTTTACAATTCTTTTTCATATTATCTGATTAATTTAAATATATTCATCAATATTAAAACAGAGAATTGAATCTAGAAAGAAAATCATGATCTAAATAAAAAAAAATAAATTATTAATATATTTACTAGATTAAATATAATAATGTAAATAATTATTAAATAGAATTTACAACTAACAATCATAGAGATATTATATATATATATTTTAATCATATTAGAGAGAAAACTATAAAATTATAAGTACACTAATTAAAGATAAATAATTAATAGAATGTATTGTATTCAATATAAAAAGATATCAGATATAAATATATAAATAAAGAAGATATACAATAAATAATTAATTAATTCATATTATTAAATAAACTATTTTTAATAGATCTTATTGTTGAAAAGAGTAAGGTTTAAATTTTTAAAAGTGATGGTATTAGAATGAATTTTAAATAAAATGAATATTGGATTTAGTAAATAATTTTATTTTATCTTTATTAAGAATAAAAGTCACTCACTAAAAAGATATTTATGGAAAAATAATAAAATATTTAGAAATAATTTTTATTGCTAATTAATAATGTCAGCTTCAAAAATCTTTTATTCGCCTTCACGTTCTAACGTTTCAAATGTCTAAGCTTATGGAGGAGACAGAGCTTTGTCACCTAGCAGAGCCAAAATCTCACAATTATCAGAAAAATTATCTAATCTATAGCATTCAATTGATGAAGATTAAGCCGTAATTATTTATAATTAAGAATCAATAGTTTAAAAAGGAGACATTTGAGAGCAAAGTTAAGATATTAGAAGATAAGGCTACTAAATAAGCTTAGGCAGACGATTCAAAATTTAAGTTATTGAAGGAATAACTCTAAAAAGTTGAAGAAGGAGCATAGAATGAGAAAATAATAAGAGAAGTATAATTATTAATAATTATGCATAGGCTGGAGATGAGAAATTAAGATCTAAAGATTTGAAGAGTTTAGAAGGTTTCTTAAATAGAGAACTATAATAAGAAAAAGTTAACAGGAAAGATTTTGAAGGGAAAATAATAAAGAATACTGATGATAAAGTTTATAGTTTGAGATTGGATTTAGCTAGATAAAAGAAGTATAGAGAAGAAACAGAAGAGAAGAATGCTTAAGAAATTGGGGATCGTGTGTTATAATTGTAAGAAGAGGTTGAAGAAGAGAGAAGATAAAGGTAATTAAAATTTATTATTTTTATAGAGAATAATAAAATTAGGATACAATTAGAAGATTAGGAGATTCTATTCTAAAATTATAAGAAATTTTAACTACAGAGAAGAAATAGAGAGAATAAGCATAAAGTTAAATGTTCAGAATGTTAGATGAAATGAATCACTATTTAAATGGTGAATTATAGAGTGAGAAAAGTGAAAGAGAATCAACTGAAGAGAGTCTTATCAATTTAATTGATTAAACATGTAACAGAGTTGAAAATTCATTAAGAAAATGAGATATTAATACATTTATTCTTATAATATTAATAATATTTTAATCAAAAAATTAATTATTATAAATTATTAGATTGAAATAAGAAATAGTAAATTTAGATTAATTTTAATAGATATATTAAAATCTAATATTAGATCTAAATTATGAGAAGATTAAAAAAAATAAAATATATTATGCATGGACAACTAATTTCATTCTTTTTTGTTGGTATATTTTAATAATGGATTATCTTATTATTACATTTATTGGGGAATATTTCTAAAATATATTAAATGATATTTATATACTATTTAAAGCGAGAAGGTTTAATCATAGGGGAAGCTTAAAACTAATTTTATTATTTAGTTTAAGGAAGTCCAATATTAGGTATAGAATCAACACTATCAGTTTTTCCAGTAAATAGTGGCGAATTCATTTATAAAGAGTTCTATGAATCAATATTCTTTTATTATTTTAATTGCTTTGTTGCTAAAACACCAGGAGAAGATAATGGAGAATTAATTAATTAATTCTTTCTCAAGGCATCAAATTTAACAGATCTTTTAATTAATATAAGAAATAAATACTCTTCATTTAATGCATTCATTCTTGAACATAAATCATTTTCTTCCCCTTCTTCTATAAAATCATTTTAATTATCATCAAGCATAATTTAATTAATTTCTTATAAAAATGGATGCTACAAACATTAATTTGCAGTTATTCTTTTTTAAGGATCTTTTTCAAGCATTTTTCTTAAAAGATCAATAGCAAAATTAGGAGCATTTTATAATTATTTTATTGAAAAATCAACATTAGCTTCTCTATTTTATTTTACAACTGTAGCATAACTTTTACCTGGAAATGGTGGTTTACCAGTTATTAATAAGTAAAATACAAGACCAAGACTATAAATATCACAAACTGAACTATAGTGACCTTTCATATCTTTCATATTAATGACTTCTGGTGCAACATATCCTGGTGTTCCACATCTGCAATATAAATAAACAGGTTCATTTACATGTGTAGCCAAACCAAAATCTGCCACAACAACTGAATCCATTTTTCTATTATTGTTATTAATACAATACTTTGATTATTTAAATAAAATATTTTCTAATTTCAAATCTCTATGCATAATTTCTTTTTAATGCATATAACTTAATCCTTATAAAATTCCTACTAATATCTATTGTATTTATTTTGTTGACAGAATCACTTTTTCCTTTATCAAATCATAAAGTGATCCCCCTTACAATAATTCTATTCCCACATACAATGAATTATTTGTTTCATAAATTTCATACATTCTCATTAAATGATGATGATTTAATTTTCTCATTATTGATAATTCATTTACAATAGCTTATTTTCCATTTTCCTCAGCATAAGCAGCTTATTTTGAAAAAGCTTTAATTGCCATTTAAACCCCATCTTCTATTCGTTCAGCCAAATAAACCTAAACAGTTTAGAATAATAGATTACAGATGCAAAATTTCCCTTTCCTATTTTCTTGAATACTCTAAAGAGTGAATGAAATTACCATTAATTGATTCTTGATTAAAAAAATTCCCTCCATTGAATTACTATTTTTTCATTGCCTTACAATTTGTAGGTTGGATGTTCTGCTTAACCAAAATCTCGCATCAAGATCATACCAATAATTTAACCAAGGGAGTCATCTTCTTCGTCTTTTTTTTGTATCTATGTTCTAATGATTTCAAATTTAGTCTCAAAATCTAGTTTTAGATATTTACAAGGTGGCTAATCAGATTTCTAATTGATATGATAAAATTGGAAATACTTTTGCAAGAAGAATATATTAATCATAACCATATAAAATTCTTGTTTTATTCTTTTTAAGTTTGATAAATTCAGATTTCAAGATGGGCTTATCATTTCTCTATTTAATATCATTAGGAATTTAGATCCAAAGTTTTTAATTCATTATAATAATAATAAATAATAACCAGTTTAAACATACTTTTTAAAACAAGATCATATAAATTATTAGTTCAATTTTCAATCCTTCAATCATATCCATTAATGACTATTTCTATTGAATTTACTCCATATTCATAAGTTCCTCCTCCCCTACCTTTATTATTTATGCAATTCGTACTTATATTAAAATCATTTTTTCTGGAGTAGTTTACGATATTGAATTCTCTATAGATAATTTAATTATTAGTATTCAATATGTATAGGGATAACAAATATCATGTAGAAAAGTGACAACCATTTATCTATTAAGAATTGACAATAATTTTGCCTTTATTTATTATTAACAGGAGATTCAAAGTAATCTTTAATTTTTCAATAACCAAAATGTCATATGTTTTTGAATCAACATATATTTTGAATCATTAGATTATCATAAAAAACGAAAATATGATTTTGTACTCTTTTTTTTAAATATATTCTCTAATTATAAAAATTTGTATATAATTTTAAACTTATTAAGTTTAAGTTAGTTTTTAGATTTGAGATAGATTTAGATTTTATCTTCTTTTCAATTAAAAGGTTCTATAATGGTGATATTTTGATAAATTATCAAACAGATTTTAAGATTTAGACAAGTTAATATATTTGTAAGAATATAATGATTTATTTTTAGCTTTTAATTATATATAACTCATATATTTTATAAATATTTAATAAATAATTTAACATCTTCTAAATATTTAAGTTAGATCTACAAGATATTTGAATAGTATAAAAATGGAACTTAATTATTATATTATTCAGTATTAGATATGATAGATGTACTAGATATAATTTGATATTTCTTATGAAATTGTCTATAAATAAATATTATTTTACTTAAATAAAAGACAATAAAATGTTAGGAGGTCTTTATGGATTAAATTTTAAATAGCATACATATCTTTTTTTATGCTTAATATTACCTGCAAACATTACAGGAATTGGATTATTTTATTTAGATGAAGCATTAACAACTTTATGTGTTTTGTAATTATTTTATGTGATGATACCTGGAATTTATATCAAATATCTAAGTAAAGAGGGTGAATTAAGAGGTATTAATAATATCAAATAGTTTATTTCATAAATGAATTGGAAGGAAGATAAGAATAGATTAAGAGAGGGTTTTCGTTATTTAGAAGTGCATTTGGGATGGTTTTATTATCGTTAATTTTCACCTATTATTGGGAAGAGGAGATCATGGATTATTTGAAGATTCCTCTTTTGGAACATCCTATTTATATTGGAGCATTTATGTTTGTATTGATTATATGCAACCCATTTTTAGAGGAATGGTATTGGTAATGAATTAATATTAAAATAAAGGCGATTGTTTTTGATGAAAACTTATAAGGAAAGTGAAAAGTATAGATTGTTAATAAATCTATTTTATGCTTTGTTCCATTTTATTATCTTATTTAAGATATTTAAATCAGATTTAGAATTTGCTATAGGGTTTTCAACATATTTTCTATCAATTGGTGGATCGTTTGAACATATAAGAGAAAAGTATGGATTCATTACTTGTCTGATGGCTCATTATGGGATGACTTTGGCTGCTTCACTTGCTTTATTAGTTGTATATAAATCATAATTGTAATGATAATTAATTAATAATGGAATCGAAAGAAAAAATCCTCTCTTGTTTGAATATCCTTAAAAGATTACCACCAACACAAATCTAAAAGAATGCTACAGCACTAGCATCATTGATTCCAGATTATGCAGAAGAATTATATTAGAAAATAGACAAACCATTAGGTATGACAAAAAATGAAAAAAATTAGATATTGGATAGGATGAAAAAGGCAATCAATTTATATAATCTGAATTCAATAGAGATGGAGATTCATTTAGATCTCATTTAACAAATTAATATTATCCCTCAATTGATGACGCAGTTTATCCTTCAGAAGCATTACGTAAATTGGAACTCAAAGCAAATGCCGTATTTGAAGAATATAGAAGATTGTATATATATATTATATATATATTTAAGATATTATGAAGGAGGATTGTCATCATGTTACTTTTGGGATAAAGAGGATGGTGGATTTGCTACAGCTTGGTTGATTAGAAAAAATGTAGAAAAGAGTAAGGGAATAGAAGATGGATCATGGAGTTCAATTAATGTAATTGATATTAAGACAGATGGAAAATCTAAGTGGACTTATAAGATAACTACATCAGTTGTTTTGGAAATGAATATAATCTAAAATCAAGATGTTGGCAAATTCAATATAACAGGTACATTAACTAAATAAGTACTTATTATTATTATTTATTTATTTTAGAAAGAAGAATCTTATGATGCTCCAGCAGGTAATAAAGATTTAGAATTATTTCATATTATGAAAATTGGAACTTTAGTTGAAGATGTAGAAAGTTACCTACGATCTTAATTAGATAGTGTTTATTTTGGCAAAACCAAAGATGTAATCTCTTTATTTAACTATTTTAATAGATAGTGTTCTAAACACGATTCAATGAAGGAGAAAAGCATTTCATATAATAAAGATAGGGATTAGCAGGTGAATTTAAATAGAAATATGGATGATATAATTGAATTCAAAAATGAATTTTATTAAAATAATATTAATTATTTCTATTTACATCTGGAATATTAGAGTATCACTGGATATATCTATTTGAATAACAAAGCTTATCAAAATAGAAGAGAATTGTTAATCAAAAAAAAGAATGAAAATTTAATTCAAAGATAATACTAGACAATAAATTAGTACTACGGTTTATCTTAATGTGTTCAAAAAAAGATTAAATTGTATTAGATATATTAGACTCTTTGTGATTTTGTATTCATCAAGTTTGAATGCATTAAATATTGAATTTTTATCAATAAGAGAAGATACTGAAATGCAAATATTCTCAGTTCACTTAAAATAATCTTAAGAGATAAAAGGAGTTTTTATGTTCTCTATAAAGATTATTTTGAATTTTATAAAACGAATTTTGTAATGAAATCGCAATCACAAACCTAATTAAAAATATGATATTCCTAATAATCCATAAATCTCTCTTTTAACATATAGATTGATTAGAAATGTTTATTGCAGATTTAGATATTGATGAATTCCATTTTTTATTTATGGCACTTCTTTGGGTTCAATTAATAAATGTCAGAAGTTAACGATACAAAGATTCTTAAATGATTAATGATAAATGAAAAAATTGCATACAATTATTAAATTTAATATTCTTTGAATGTTAATTTTTAATTAATTTTTTAGATTTTTCTTTTGTTTCTACTTTTATTTAATTTAGAATCTAAAGTTTATTTTGTTTAAACATATTATAAACAATCTTTAAATTTATAATATATATCTAGAGTGTTATAAAAGTATTAATAAAATTTGGATTATGATTAAATTCATCTACTTTCTTATTAATTTATAAAGTAATGTAAAAATTTATAGATTGAATAAAGTATTGTATTATTAATATTGAATAATAATTTTGATTATAAAAGGGAATCAGTTATTTCAATTAATTAATAATGTGGATAAATTTAGATGTGTTTACTATATGGGAATGAATATGTTATTGCATAAGATTCTAATACTATTTTAAATGATGTTTTTTTACAATTCTTCTATTAATTTATGTTTCAATAATTGAAATAGATCAGTATTAAAAAGTTATATTTATGAGACTAAGAGTATTGTTGTATAGTATGAAATTTGATTATTTGCACAAATTGAGTGTGGTTAATAGGAAAGATCATATTTAATTCATTAATTTTGCATCCTCTTTCTTTGAAACATTTAATTAATAATAGATAAATGGATTAGAGAATATATATAATACGTTTTTAAAATTATGTAAAATAACTAATCAAGGATCTAAGTAGCATTTTGTATTTTTGCATTCCTTATTAACTCCTGCACATAGTTTTTAACATCTTTCTTAAGTTACTAATGATTATCGCATTTATGTTTATGCACATGTGTAAATGCATCCATTCACTTATTTATCACATTTAGCCTAACATTCTGTTACTTTGGTTACAACACCTTTTGCTATTATATAGATATACCGAAAGCTCCTTGTGTAAGTAACACTAAAAATATGAAAATTAACTTTATATTCATTTTATTTATTATTTATTTAAGTCCTAAAATGACCTCAAATATTAACATCTTATTTGATAAACCTAAGCTTACTTTAACAGCTTTGGATACAGTAGAATAATACGATTTTGACATTATTGTAGATAAAGTATCAGAGTAGCTTAAATATGTGTCTCAAAGATTAATTGAAGGATAATAAGAAACAGATCTTCCATATGATAAAGAAAATATTATTTTGCCAAGATAATAAACATATATTTAAAAAGTAAAAGATAGCAAATTTGCTAAAAAGAAAAAAAAGTATATTGTCCATAATTTAAATTTTATAGTCGAATGGTTTGGGATGAAAAAAAGAAGGATTGGATTTTGAGAAAATTAAAAAAGAGAGATTCCGTTATACCTCCTATTATTGAAGCTACAAAGTCAGATGCTTATGAAGTAAAAAATTAAATTAAAAATAGGATGTCTTTAGAAAAAAGGAAATGGAACATGAACTTAAGAAATCTAAGAAACAATTAAGATTAGTGTAAAGAGATAAATAGAAATAGAAGAAACTATAGTCCATTAAGAAGTAACTCTGATTGTTTATAATATATCCAAACACTCAATTAAATCATTTCATATATATTATTTTATTGTATTCAACTATAGTTAGACATTGTATTCTTCATTCAATAACACTTATATTTACTCTTATATTTAATTCATTATCAAATATTAAATTACTATTAATATTTATTAATACTCAAATTGCTATAACGAATAGTTTAACTATAGTTATTATTACTTATAATCTTCAAAATTTTATTTGATTTATTTCTCAAATGTTATTGATGAGTAAGTTCAGATTATTAATAATTATAATTTCTTAATGATTAGTATTTTAGGCACCTTTTTTTGCTTGCTGTGTGGATCTCGTAAAGAACGAAAACTAATGATGTTAACAATACAAGATCAAAATCATAATACGTATTACATTAAAGCTAAACCCAATATGAAAATAGAGGAAGTTAAAACAAAATGTGGTATTGAATCAGAGAGATCTTCATTATTTCTTGAAAAAAAATTATTAGATGATGATGCTGAGTTGAAAGAGTATGAAATAACTTCAGATACTCATTTAACCTTACTTTTACATAAAGAAATCGAATCATGAGATCAGTTATTTTCATAGATTTATTATCATTATTAATATTTTTATAATGAATAAAAATAATAATAATAATGCTCTTAGATCATAAACACCATTTATGAGTGAAAATCATCCATTAAATCCTTATGGTAATAACTTTATAGATCATCCATATGAATCAAAAATATTTTATAAATTTAATTCAGTCAAACAATATGTTCATTTATAAGAAGATGATTAATTTAGAATCTCTAAATATTCTGCATATTTTGCATTTGGTTTAGGAGGGACATTGATAGGGACAATAGGTGGATTTCAATTACTTTTAAGATATATTTTTAAACCATACTACACTAATGCATATGAACATCTCAATCAATATAAACATTTATATTTAGGATTACTAGTTGCATCAAGTGTTACATTTATGTACACTTATTTAACAACTTTATATATTGAAAATGTATCAAGGCCATTGCTATATAAATATTTAGATGAAGCAAAAAATAATGGATTCTAAGATTATGAAATTAGTTTCAAATAATAATGAAATAGTATTATGTTTATATTCAAAAAATTAATTATATAAATTTATTTATTTTTTATGATATTTTTAAATTATCCTTTTTTTGTAGTCTAAAGAATACTTTATATGTATATGTTTTTTAAATTGTAATTTCTTAAATGAGAATTTCTATTTTTATATTAGGAATAATATTTGAATTAGAATATTGTTCAAAAAAAGGATTTTAATTAAATTCTTAAGATAAATGGGATTATGTTATTCTAAACATTTTAAGAAACCTTAGACTTATTTCAAAGAATTAACTAATATTAGTCTCACTCCTATAATAAATAAAAAAAATACTAAAAAAAGAAATAAAACAATAACATTTTGGGATACAAAAATACACTAAAATGAGGTTATATTAAATCAAAAAAGCTTTTCTCCTCCACCAAAACTTTGCTTTTTTAGTAGTAATCAGAGTTCCAATGTAGATAAATTATAGGGATAATTTAAAGGAACAAAAGAAAGGTTGAATTAAGTAATTTAAAATAAATAAAGCAAATAAACACTTTTTGGAAAAACACTTAGATTTTCACATTCATCAAATAGGATTTAAAGATAATTATTTAAGCATTCAACATGAAATTATTGATATGCATCAATATATATTACCATAAATAATATCATTAAAATATCTAATACTTAGTATCAGAACAATATTTTTTGTATTATTTTCTATAAAAATAATTAAATTTTTATTTTTCTCATGTTTCTTAAAAAGAGACAAATAAATTTCTTTTTTTTATTGTAGATGAATTAATACAAAAAAAAGAATAATCCTTTTAAATTAATAATTTATTACAATTTTTATGATTTTTTATTGAAAAGATTTATCCTTTTTCACATTATTTTCACATACTTTATTAAAAGATCATATAAATTTTGTATGATTCATTTTTCTCAATTATTAAGCAAATTTCTTATAAATCTCAATGTCAATTAATCAAAAAAATTATAATAAGATACTAAAATTTTAGCAATTATTTATGGGCAAATAAAGTTTACTTATCATCAAGACTAAAGATTTAGGGTCCTTTGAAACAATCTTTAAAGTTATCTAATTTTATTTAGATTTAGTGAAAGAATAACAATCAATATAGTTTTATAGCTCTATATTGACAAGGTTCAATTGAATAAAACAAACTCTCTTTTTCTAATAATTTATGTAACATAATTTTATATGAAAGTAATGACTGATACAACAAAAAAAAATAATTAAAAGTATATCAAATAAGAGTATAAAAGGTTTAGAGTAATAAATCTATTATAATGTTTATCATTTTCTAAACAGTATATTATTAATAAATTCTATTCTTTTGATATGAAAGATCCTTAAGTAATTTGATTCATTTTTAATTAAAATGTTATCAAAATGTTAAATAATAATAAATAAAAAATTTAAAACTTTAATGTTAGATATCTTATTATCTCCAAAAAATATTCAAAAACCAAGCAAATTGTTACCAAAAAAAATAATCAATGATTTCGTATATCATTTAGAAGATTGTTTAGGGTAAGGAGAATATAGTTCAGTATTTAAAGGCTAAGACAGAAGATCTGGATAAGAAGTAGCAATTAAAGTAATTAAGATTATAATATAATGTTTAGGTTATTGAGAATTCTAAATTGAATTCAAATTTCTCAAGACAGATGTTGAGTAATGAAATTGAATCATTAAAGAAACTCAATTCTCCATACATCTTATAGTATATCAATTACATTTACACTCCTAACAATCAATACATCATAACTGAATACTGTAATGAAGGAGAATTGAAATTTGTAAAGAATCGATCAGATTAATAATTGTTAAGGATTTTCCATTAATTACTGTAGGCATTGAAGGAACTTAAATCTAAGAGTAATTATAATAATTGATAATCATAGATATCATTCATAGAGACATCAAACCTCCAAATATTATGATGCACAATTGTATAACGAAACTTGCTGATTTTGGTTTTAGTGTTAATATGAATTCTTTGGAGTTATAAAAATCATCATTTGGTACTCCACTCTATATGGCACCTGAATCATTATTAAATGATATGTACAGTTTTTAGTCTGATGTATGGTCAGTTGGAATTACTATGTATGAACTCATATATGGGAATGTACCCTTTTATCATAGTAAAGAATCAGAATTAAAGAAAATAATTCGAGATTATGTAAATAATCCAATCTTAAGAATACCTTAATCAATATTCATTCCATTACTTAAAGGAATGCTTGATCCAAATCCTAAAACTAGATTTACTGTAGAATAATTGTTATCGATGATTTCAATCGATTAAAATACTTAAAATATTTCTTAATCAGAAATTAACTTCTTAAGCAATTTCGCATAAAACTTATAGCATTTTGAGACTAACATTAATGACATATGTCTTCGATGGGCAATTTTGAAAATCCTTGCAACTCAATATAAAATGAATGGAATTGCTCAATCCTAAATTAATTAATAAATTAATTAAATACAAAATACTACTAATTTCTATATGATTAAAGACTAAAAGATGATTGATCTAATAAATTCTAAATCAGATGCATGTATTTTATTTAAATAATTTATATAGAATTTGTGTATATACTTAGATAAATATTGTAACAAAAAATTAATTGCTAACAATACAAACCTATTGTATAGGATATACTCTAATGCGATTCTATCTTATTTCACTTATTTTAATGAGAATTATTATTTTATTTAATTCATTTTATCTTATAATTTATAAACTTGATAATTTAAAAATAAATTGTATAAAATAACTGAAGTAATTCTTATGATTATATAAGTGTTCATTCAAATTAAATTTTAAGGAATAACTTTAGTTAGTGTTCATAAAAATATCAATTAAACAAAAAAAAACAAAGATAATCATATACAATTAAATAAATATCAATTTTTTAAGGTATATATCTACCTAAGATATCCTTTAAGTTAGTAATTTAAAATGGGAACTTTTAAATTCACTAAGTCTTCTGGAATAAATCCTGATTCAAATTTATCGACATTATTATTTAATGGAGAAGGTTAAGATTCATCTTCTTCATGAATAATTTGTGGGGATAAATTTGAAATTTTAGGATTAGAAACTATAGAAAGTTAACTAGATGAAACTTAAGGTTGTTATGTATCGTAAAGCCTTTATTGATTTAAGATATTTATATCAGATTTAGATTTAATTGTTGTAGTTGATTCTGCAATAATATTTTCTGTTTTATTGATAGATTAGGTTTTGGAAGTTTATTTTAAGTTTGATTTCTTTACTTAATTTGTTTCAGTTGATAGTAAATTGCTCTGCTATTAAATACTGACTTTAGATTTTGATGTTAGATTTGATCTATTTGTCTTATCATCAGACATTTAGGTTTTACAGATTTGGTCATTCTTTTAAGGTGTTTTTGATTTAGGTGTAGCAGTAACTTGAGCCTTAGGTTTATTGTCTTATGGATTTTTAGTTTCAATGACACCACATTTATATTGTTCAAGAGAAGAGAGTACTGAGGGTTAGTGTCTGTGGATGGATGCATTAAATAGAATCTGAATTAAAAATAAATGAAGGTACATTCTCTAAGTCTTTACCCTTGAAGGTTTAGAGAGAGAACCTTCCTCCAGGATGATCATCTACAAAATGTGTTAGATCATAAACATTGTTACGATATGCAAACAGAAATCTTATTCAAAACTGGATACTACCTATCAGATTTGGCACTATCTTGCTGCATCTAGGCTATTGAAGAGTACTTTTTCAACATATAAATATAAAATTAATAATAATCTCTTTGATTTAGCTATTTGTTTTGTGATATATTTTGATAAATTAAAAAAACTAAAAATTATTTTTATGCAATAATGATAATAATAATTATATATAATATATAATAATGGATGACTTATATGGAAGAAGTGCAAGCATTATGGAATCTTAATAGAAATTAGAATTGTTCATAAGTTGTCGTGGATTAGCTAATATGGATACCTTTTCAAAAAGTGATCCTTATGTAATAATGTATGTGAAAAGAAATAACTAATGGTCAGAAGTAGGAAGAACAGAAATAATTAAAGATAATTTGAATCCAAACTTTTCAAAGTCATTTATAATTGAATATTACTTTGAATGTTAATAGCCATTAAAATTCACTTGTAATGATGATGATGGACATGGATAATATGATGTACATTTTTAATTAAAAAAATATAGTTTATTGGAAGTGCTGAAACTACATTAGCAAGTATAGCAGGAGCTAGGGATTAATTAGTAATGTTAAATTTAACTAATGGACAGAAGAAAACTGGAGTATTAATAGTAAGAGCAGATTAGGTTAGGATTATAAATGATAAAATCATAATGTAAATAAGTAAATTCTAATTATTATATTTATTAGGTGCTGATAATCTACCTGATACAAGATTTTTACCTTGGCATTCTACATCACCATTTTTTAGATTATATAGAATAAGAAAAGATACAAATTAATCACTCTTAGTTTATGAAAGTGAACCTATCAAATCTAATTTAAAACCTATATGGAAAAGATTAGATATCTAAGCTTAGAAATTGTGCAATGGAGATTATTTTATGCCAATTAGAATTGAAATTTGGGATTACAGAACTTCAGGAAATCATGAACATGTTTGTTCTACTGATTTTTCAGTGAATGAATTATAGGGTAAAAATAATATAAAAAAAGCATTAATGGATAAAAATAAAAAATATTCTGGTGTTATCATATTTAATGATGTAATATATATTATTATCTATATTCTAGTTAAAATTAATTGAAAAACCAAGTTTCTTAGATTATTTGTAGAGTGGAACATAAATAAATTTAATTGCTGCAATTGATTTTACAGCATCCAATTAATCTCCTAAAACTCCAAGTTCTCTTCATTATATTGATGATTAATATCATAGAATGAATTAATATCAATAAGCATTATTAGCCGTGGGAGAGATCTTATTAAATTATGATCATGATAAAAAAGTACCACTCTTTGGATTTGGATGTAAACCAAGACTTCATAATTTAAATACTCCTTAAACTTTACATTGTTTTCCATTAAATGGTAATCCTCAAGATCCTGAAGTATTCTAAATGGATGGAATTATGCAAGCCTATAATTATGCTGTAAGAAATGTTTAATTTGATGGTCCTACTTATTTTAATCCTATTATTTAAGAATCTATGAAAATAGCATAAGTTTGTAAAGATATGGGTACAAATACATACTTTGTATTATTTATTTTAACAGACGGTGAAATCCATGATATGAAAGTATTTAATATAAAAATGTATATTAGTAAACCATTGATTCCATAGTGGCAGCTTCACATTTACCAATATCAATAATAATTGTTGGAGTTGGAGATGCAGATTTCACCAATATGTCTATATTAGATGATGATGATGGTAATCTTCGTGATTCTTTTGGAAAAAGAACATAAAGAGATTTAGTTTAATTTGTTCCATTCAACCAATTTAAAAGTAATCCAGAATTGTTAGCCAAAAATGTCCTCTAAGAATTACCAGATTAATTAGTTGATTACATGTTATTAATTGGTAGAAAACCCGGATAAAAAAATTGTAATTATATTAATCATTATTTAGTTATTAATTTAGGATAATTTGACATTAATTAATATTCATAATAGTATGGTTAATAACAATAAATAATATAACCTAATTAATAATAATAAGTACCTTAAATCCCATAATAATAATTTTAAAATGTTCCACCACTTCCCTCTTAATTTTAGTAACCTTTACCTCAACCATACAATTAAACTTAATAAGTATATCCACCACAATAATCTTCATATCCATCCTAATAGATGCCTCAATACCCTACTTCATAATTGAATTAATTCCCTCCATAATAGCCTGCTGTCTATCCACAATAATAATAACCTTACCCTCCTCCTAATTATTAATAATAATAATAATAAATATACCCTCCTTAACAACCTTAATTCTAAAATAAATTTGTTTAAGGGCTTGCAAATACTAATTTTTTAGGATAACATATAACGGATGCTCAATAATAGTAACTTAATTAATAATTGCCTTAATTCTAATATCCCCCATAAGAATAAGTGAATTAAAATGGAATATAACCCTAAACAAATCCGTATTAATAACCAAAACAGCCTCCTCATGTACCCAACAATCCCTATGGATTATGATAAATTTATATTACATAAATCATTATTAATGATTTCATTTGATCAAATTCTTGAAACTAAAATTGGGACTGGATTGTACCAAGGCAAAACACTTTTTATTATCGGTTTGGTTGAATTTTGTGATGGCATCGAATATACATTTATGTCAATTTTGATTGCTATTCTCTAAACTGAATGGAATTTGAATTAAGCCTAAGTTGCAACTTTGGGATCATCTTTTCTTTTTGGAGTTGTATTAGGAAATTTATTATGTGCGTTCTTAGCTGATTAAATAGGCAGAAAAATTACATTCTCTATATTTACAGGTTTAAGTTCGTTTTTGGTATTCTACACAAGTTTTAGTAATTCTTATGAAGAAATGATTATGCTTAGACTTTGCTTTGGTTTAGTTTTTGGAACTACAAGCCCCTTGGGTTTTATTTTTATATCTGAAGTGACAGAAGCTAAATACAGAGGAAGATTTTCTTTTGGATTATCATTGCTCTATATTTTTGGAAAGATATACTTTGTCTTTCTTTGTTTCTTCTTTTTAGATAGTTATACATCTGGTAATTGGAGAGGTTTGATTAGATTCAATGGAATACCTATCACAAGTGCTTTTATATTATCATTATTTTTCGTATAAGAAACAATAAGATACTTTTTAAATAAAGAGGAATATGAAAAAGCATTTGAAGAAATTGAAAAAATCATTAAGTTAAATGGAAAAGAGAATGCATAATTTTTAGACGAGGAAGTATGACATTTATTGTTATTTTAAAGAAAAAAGGTTTATAGGAATGGTCTCAAAAATAAATATAGGAACAAAGAGAATAAGAATTACATTTATATGGGGTTCTATCCAATGAATATAGAAAAGAAACTTTATTATTTTGGCTGGTCTGCATTCTTACTAATCTATAAAATATGAGTATATATTTATTGATGCCTTTCTTATTTGCTGAGAATAACTCAGGATTTGCACCTATGCTAAATATGTTCATAATAGAATTTTTCTTTGCATTAATCATTTATTATATGATTGACAATCCTCGTTATGGAGGCAGAATAAAGATTATGGCTTTTTCAGCTGCTGCATTAACTATTGCTAATGGTTTATTATATATTTTGAAGAATTAATTTTTGTATATAGGTTTGTTTATAATCAAAATTTCAACAAGAGGACTTTTTTCAACTATAGGCTTACTCTGTTGTGAAACCTATCCTCTTTATTTAAGATCCTAAGGTTGTGGTTTAGTTTAGGCTATTGGGAAAATTGGTGCAATACCGTCTCCTTATTTTTTATTTCCTTTATTTTATATAGATCCATATTTACCTTTCGGAATTATGTGTGTATTATCTATTGTTATCTTAACTGTTACTTGCTTTTTCAACTAAGATAAAACTTAAAAGCATTTAGAAATGTTAAAAAATGAATGAATTTTTGTTATTTATTTTTTATTTAAGATTCCTAAAATAATCTAAATTATTTTGTATTGATGAAAAACATATGAAAAATTTAGAATGAATTCTGAATGATTAATAACAAATACATAACATTTCTCAAATTTCTGAACTAGGTCATATTCACAAACAAATTTAATCAATTCATTCTTGTATTTTGTATATTGTTTTTGCATTTCTTTTGTCAAAACGATTGCTGAGTCTTAATGTTTAACTTATCTATTTTTATAACTTCTTTAGATTAACTTCATCTAGAAATGTGTTTTCAGTATAAGATGCAACTATTTATTATAATGTTCCTCTTTCTTCTGGTAAATTTTATAGAATCCATACTAATTTATTTCTCATTTTATTGTCATCCTCTCCTCTATCTTAATAATTCTCATTAAGACCAAAATAGCCCTTTATTTTCCGAATAAATTAGCTCCGATTATTTGAAAGTGTTATTGAGATTGATCTTAAACAAGCTGAATCCTCAGATAATTATCCATTAAAGAAATTTTGATTAATAGATTCAATAATCTTCTATTTAGTACCACATCTTCCTTCTAATTATTGCAATGTTATTTTGATCATATCTTCTACAGTATAATCATACTTAGTACTAATTCTTTACATTTTTTATTATTCTTTTGAAGGATCATCCTTCATACTCAAACTTCTAACATCACTCATTTAATCCTATACATTTTTTTTTAATTTTTATATTTTTGATTAGACAGAATACCAAGTTCTTCCTAACTATTTTGATAAATCTTAAATTTATTAATTAGTAATTGAACTATTTTAATAAGTATTTATAAAATTTTATAAGGTTTCCATTTCTTTATTTGACCAAGTTTTTCTTCCTTTTTTTTCTATTGCTTCATTAACAATGCTTAAGGCACTTTATTAATTAATGGAATTTGAATTTTTATGTGATTGTACTTACTATATTTTTTATTATTAATACTATTCATTTTTAGAATCAATTTATGATTATTATTATTATAATTATTATTATTATTGTTGTTGCTTTTATTCATAAGGCTATTAAAATTAGGTTTTCTATAATTTATAATCTGAAAACGATTAATTTTAATTTTCATTTTACATTTATTATGTTAAACCTTCTGATTTAAGTAAATCAAAACACCATGAGCTATCTGCTTTATGAATTAAATTAAATATTTCTTAAATGAAATCAATCCCTAAAGAACAAACAAATGCCATAAATTACTTAACATCCAATCTAAATATTTTTCAAAAATTCATACCTTTTTTGTTATCTATACATTCTTAATTTATTTATAGTTCGGATATATTGGGAATAAAAAGATTTGAAGACTTGAGGTTGAGAAAGAGATTACTCTAAAAACGTAAAATTATCAATATTATTTAATGCATCCTAATTTTAGGTAATCTGAATTGTTTACATTATATTTTTATTATTCTAAGAATCCATTTTATCTCTCAATAGCTTAAGAAATTAATGTATCAATCTCTTCCATAAATGAAGGTAAGCTCTGGGACATCTTACGTTGAGGTTTCATCCTGGGTTCATGTTGGACCTCTTATTACTTTTGAACAAATTAATTAACTTCAGGCTCAGCGTTAAAAAATTTGTGCAGCCTAAAATTGTTAATTTCTGGCTGCTCAATCTAAATATGTTGGGGAAAGTTTTCATTTTCATCTTCATCCAAATCAAATTAGCCTAAAGTGACAAAGCAATCTATCTTTTAAAGCAAGTTTTAAGGACTTTAAAATGCATAAAACTCATCCTCCATCTCTATACCTTACCTATTATCCATTTAATTTATTATTAAATTCCTTTTTTTATACTACCTCATATTACAACTTTTAAATTAGTAAAATTGCGTATAAGTACAAATAACAAAACACAATTGTATAAACTAAATAGAATTGAAACATAATAAAAAAAATATAATTGATTGGAAACTATCACTATTTAATCATTTAAATATCCAATAAAAATACAAGAACAATTTAAAAGAATTTGATATATTTATTATCAATTATTTAAGATCTGGATTGTAATAATAAGATTAGATTTTGGTTTATTTATATATTTAAACATTCCAAAAGTATATAGAAAATATCTCCATTAATAAATTATGAAGGTATATAAAATAAACAAATTACATAAAAAGTGGTCTATGTTTCTCCTACATCTCATTTAATTCAGTCAATAAATGTTTAAATATAATTTGTAATTTATCTTTTAACTTTTATAACTGCTTTTGTTATTCTTTAGTAATCCTAGCTATTGATTCATTAAATAAATATCTTTTCAATGATTTATATAATAAAATCTATTTTCCACTTTTTTTTTTATGTTTTATTATAGTTTATACACATTATAATCATTTATCATCAACTCTTATTATATCTTTTTATTTATAAATTGAAAATCCTAAATTGAATATTAATTTGATTAACGTCTAAAAGACAAAGGGTTGTACTTTTGATATTATTATATAATTTAGAGTTAAATAACACAGTTGAGAACCTTTATTCTAAAATAATGAATATATGAAAATATCTTATTGATCAATAATAATTAATATTTATATATAAATAAATTTATCATATTAACATGGAGGAAAATGCTATTATAAGTTAACCAAAAACGAAACAATAGATCACACCAACAACAGGAAAATCAAGAGATGAAATGAGAATCTTTTTATTTGAATTTTTTGGAATGGCTTTATTTGCATATGGGTAAAACTTAATTAATACAATTTAGAATCATCTGTTCATAAGGATCAGATGAATTCTTAGCTTTATTTTTCTTCGCATCAGTTTGTTTGGCTGCTCCATTTTCAGGAGCACATGTAAATCCTGCTGTTACATTGGCTATGGTTTTGTCAAGAAGAGTTAATTTTGCATAAGCAGTTATATATTGGTTGGCTCAATTTTCAGGAGCATTGTGTGGAGCTTGCTGTTGCTATTTGATTTTGAATGAAGTAGATAGCCCTTAAGTTAAGAGTACTGAGTACTCATGGATATTATCAGATATAAGTGGAGAGGCATTCGGAACATTTACATTTATTTTATTCATACTCATCCAAACAGATCCAGAAACTACTTTAACTCCAGGAGGACAACCCATGACAACCTATGTATTAGTTGCTTTGGCATTGTATTTTTCAAGAGAATTTACATTCCATTCAGGAGGTAAAATAATTATTTTAAATCTTAAGGATGCTTAAATCCAGGTATGGCAGTTTCATTACAATTATTTTAATCGTTTTAAACAGGAGATAGACAGAGAATGGACTTCTTATGGGTATATGTAGGAGGTCCATTAGGTGGAGGTTTTGGAGCCAGTGTGTTTTTTGAACTTTTTTATAAAAAATAGATAAAAAGACTCTGATATATAAATAATTTAATCAATATCATTAAGTCATATAAAATTACGTAATTACTAAGAATATATTAGTAAAATAAGCTCAATATTTCATTTAAAAAAATAGACATTAAATATTTCATTAAGTATAAAATTCCTTTGTAGAAAATCTATCAATTCATTTAATATAATAAAATTTAATCTAATTATTTTTACATATAAATGTAGTCATTTTAATATTATTGACTGTCTCATATTCTATATTTTATTTTTTTCTATTATTTTAATATTTTTAAACTCTTAATAATTATTGCTATTGTATTTTCGATAATAATTCTTATAATTAGCTGGTGCATCAAATTATTCAACTCCAGTTTTGATTGTTGGCTGTAAAATCTTTTGGTATTCAGCCAATACATTATCTCTTGATTATTATTAAGATTAATTAGGATTTTCAACAACTTTTGAACTTATTAGAGCTGATTGTTACATAGAAGATTAAGTTAAAGTTTGAATTGCAAAGCTTTTTAATTATTAATTCTATTATTATCTTTAAGGGATATCATTATCAATAGATTAAGAATTTAGATTTTAACTCTCTGTCATATCATCAACCATTGGATTAGCTGCTTATTCTTCGTCTAAACTTTTAAATTCTTTTACTTGCCATTAAGGAATTAATGGTTTATCAATTTTTACTGTATTTTTCTTTAAAGCTCTCTATGTTTTGAGCATTAAATTAGCTTTCTTTTTCAATTTGTTATTATTTAATCCTTTGATTAAAGTTGTTGCATTAGCTCTAGTAGCCCATTATTTTCTATCAAATCTCTAAATTTTAACTCTGTCTTATTTTAAATCCAAAACTGTAGATTCTTCAATTAATTCTTAAACTAATGGAATATAATGAGTCTTAGGACATTAATCAGCATAATGATCTGAATTATTACAAGTATAGCATTGTTATTCTACTAAATTGTATTCTTTAGTAAATAATAATTTATCTCTTATTTGACAATACATTTCAAAATCTTCAGGAAATTTCTTCAATGTTTCTAAAAAGTCAGCTCTTGTAATTGCATATACTTGTGAATACTCTCTAGCATTTACTGTACCAGTTCTTGGAAAACCTATAATCTATGAAAATTCTAACCTGTAAAGAATGACCATTCTCCAAAATAGCTATACAATCCTAATTTTTTTTTTATAATTTCACTATTTCCTGGTTTTACAATAACAGAACCACCAACAATATAATAGATACTTAAATCATCAGTTTGTTCTGTAGATCCTACCCCAATTATTTCATCTCCTTAAGAAAAAGATTGTTCTCTAATTTTCTATGCTAATTCTTTCAAAAATGGTTTAGTGAAATGATTAGCAAACATAGTTCTTTAGAGAAACTATCCTAAAGATTGATACATTAATTCTTATTTTAATTCAGGTGCTAGAATTTCAAATACTTATTATTCACTTTCCTAATCTCTACTTCCTTCTTCTGCCCAATGTTCATTTATATATTATCTTATACGTTCTCTTAATTCAGAAGGTACATTCTTTTATTCCATAAATTTATTAATAGAAACCTCATATTTGAAGATTAGAACATACTTTTTATTTGAATCGTTGCATATAATATGAATTATATTCCTCCATCATCTTTTAAAAGTTGTTGATATTTAATGCAAATACGACAACTGCAAACATTACTCCAAAAAGAGCAAAGGAACATTCATAAATATTCATAGGAGACTAATATATAGAGTAAAGTATTTACAATATCACCAAAACCCATAGTGGTAGAGAGCACATTTAAACTGAAGTAAAAGGAATAAAAGTATATTTCATGAATTGATTTGTCTTTGATAATACCAAAATTACCTGGCACATTAAGCCAAGTATTAATATGGATATTATCACCATAAATGCCTAATACATACCAAATACAACAATAAAAGTTGAAGCAGAAAAACATAAATATTAACATTTTTGTGATTTGGTAAAATGTTCTTAATCGTTTATGTAATAATATTAATTCTGCAATTTGATGATCAATTCTAAGTAAAGAGGGTAATTTAAAATAGAACATAAAGAAAATAAATCTGAAATTATTTGTATCAACTGCTAATCTAACAATACAAGAGAATAACTATTGTTAATATTAAAATATATACAGCAACGCAATCAAAAACAAAATATCCATAAAAGTAATGCATGGCTATCTTTCTTTTATCCAAAACAAGATTCCCATGTTTATAATAAGATGTTACAAAATCAAGAAGCATGTCTGTTAAAAGTATAATAAAGATTCCATAAAATAATGCATATCGTCCTCCTTCATTTATGAGTTCCTAAATTTATATTCAAAATATACCTTCCAGAAATCTTCCCCGTACATTACATATATTGGCACTTCGAAAAAGACAAAAAGTGTAGTAATAGCTACAAATATCTTCCAAGGCCAAACTCGTTTTGGCAGAATAACCGGTAGCCATGATAAATATTCCTCAAAAAAATTGTTATCACTATGGCCATGTTCATCATTAAGATTATCATCATATATTTTAATGACTCTTTAGATTTTTTCTTATTCTTCTTGCATTACATTTTTTTCATGAAATTATTCAAGTTTCCACTTCACTGTTTTATTTAGAGTACGGCTTCTTGATCTTTATTCAATGGACATTGAAGATACATCAGACAGAAGGGAATCCTATAATGAGTATTATTCTTGCATTTCAAATGAAGTCATTGTAATATTATGATTATTTTATTAATCGTAATTAGCGTCATTTTAATTTAATTTGTATTTTAAAACTAAAAATAAATAAATTATGTTTAAGACAAGATATTTAATAACCAACCAATTAACTCATTTCTAAAGATCATCATTCTCAAGTCAACCATTTGATTTAGTAGTAATTGGTGGTGGTCCAGGTGGATATGTTGCTGCCATAAAAGCTGCTCAATTAGGCTTAAAAACAGCTTGTGTTGAAAAGAGAGGTACTCTTGGAGGTACTTGTTTGAATGTAGGCTGTATTCCATCTAAAGCCCTTCTAAACATCAGCCATAAATATGAAGATGCTCACAAAAACTTCAAAGGATTAGGAATTAAGGTTGATAATTTAGGAGTTGATTGGACATAAGTACAGAAGAAGAAAAGTGATATTGTTGGATCACTTACAAAAGGAATTGAAGGTCTATTTGCTAAAAACAAAGTTTCCTATTATAAGGGATGGGGTAAATTTGCATCTAAAAATGAAATCGCCATTGATTTAAATGATGGAAAGAAGGAGACAATAACAACTAAGAATACACTTATTGCAACAGGAAGTGAACCCACACCCTTCCCAGGTTTAGATTTTGATGAGAAAATAATTATCTCAAGTACAGGAGCATTATCTCTTTAATAAATTCCTAAAAAAATGATTGTTATTGGAGGAGGAGTTATTGGAGTTGAAATGGCGTCTGTTTATTAAAGATTGGGAACAGAAGTTACAGTTGTTGAATACTTAGACAACATTTGTGGAGCTATTGATCTTGAAGTGTCTAAAGCATTCTAAAAAATATTAACTAAATAAGGAATCAAATTCTTAATTGGACACAAAGTCTTAGGTGGAAAGAATCTTGGTAATGCTGCTGAAGTCACTATTGAACCTGTGAAAGGAGGTGATAAAATTACATTAACAGCAGATCATGTTTTAGTGAGCACAGGTAGACGTCCATATACCTAAGGATTGAATGCTGAAGTATTTATTATCTACAACTTAGTCTATTGGTGTAAAATTAGATAATAGAGGAAGAATCTAAATTGGTCATAACTTCACTACAGGAGTTGATGGTGTCTATGCTATTGGAGATGTTGTTGAAGGTCCTATGCTTGCACACAAAGCTGAGGAAGAAGGTATTGCTGTTGCTGAAATCTTGTCTGGAAAGGTTGGTCATGTCAATTACGATGCTATTCCAGGAGTCATCTATACTAGTCCAGAAGTAGCCACTGTTGGAAAAACAGAGGAAGAATTAAAGAAAGCTGGAGTTTAATATGCTAAAGGATCTTTCCCATTCTTGGCTAATTCTAGAGCCAAGGCCAATGATGATATTGAAGGTTTCGTTAAAATTTTGACTGATAAAAAAACAGACAAATTGTTAGGAGTTCATATTGTGGTAATCTTTTGATTTAATTATTAGGGACCAAATGCTGGAGAAATGATTGCAGAAGCTGTTCTAGGTATTGAATATGGTGCTGCTTCTGAAGATCTTGCTAGAACTTGCCATGCTCATCCAACCTTAAGTGAAGCTTTGAAGGAAGCATGCATGAGTGCTCATTTCAAACCTATCCATATGTGAAAAGGGAGCAATTGATAATAAATAGTATAAATATATATTCAATAAATTTCTATTTTGATACCTCATTTCTTTTTCTTTTAAGTTACAGCCTATTTTGCTTTTGTTTCACAAAATGCTATATGTTTTTTTGCTGTTTCTGGATTAAACTTTCTGTTGCAGAATTTACATAAAACTAAATCTTAAGTAGCATCCATTGCATTCTTCAATGATGCTTGTTCCTCTTTTGTTAACTATTCTCCTTTTCCTTATTTAATAATAGCTCTAAAGGCCTCACTTTAGGCTTTCCATTTTGGTTTATCACTTTTAGATTCATTTTATTTCTAAACTTATTTTTATTATTATTATTTCTTCTATGGAGGAGGAGGAGGTCTATATCCTTCTTCTTCTTCATCTAGCTATCTTTATTGTTAAGAATCAAATACTTTTCTTTTCTATTAAAATACCTTTTAGCAAATCTAAAGTTTATTACAAGTAAAATACTTTTGCATGCTTTTCTAATGCTTTCTTGTTAAAAGATCTACCACATCCTTCAGGACATTCAAGCAATATTTCATCACCTTCCTATTCCATTTGAGTAGTTTGATTTTTTTACTGTTGTAGTTATTGCATTTAATATTATGGCTATTGTATTTACTATTAATATAATGGTTATTATTATTATCTTGTCTTTATTGGCTATTCTTGTATCTATTATGTTTATAATTATTATTGATTTTATTAAAATTATTGGATTTGTTATTATTTTTAATATACAAGTTACTATTACTATAATTATTATTATTGTTATAATCCTCGCATATCTTATTAATTATTTATTGGTTATTTTACATTATATTATTACGAATATTCTTAATGTTATTAATGAGATGAATATTATGAATTTTAGTATTATATTTATTATGGTATTGATCTTTGTAATTATTATTATCTCTATTATTGATCTATATTTTTTTATTATCTTTGTATCTATTCTTAATTAATTTATCTTGATTGTCCTTAAAATTATTATGACTTTTATTCTTCCAATTAAGGCTATTTTTATTATCCTTAGGATTTAATTGTTTAAGATTATTAACCTTATGGCTATTGTTGTTGGCTTTATTAAACTTGAGGTCTTTATGTTTAATTATTTTATAGAGATAATCGAGCATACTATTACTCTTAGGCAGGAAGTTATTAATTATAACCAACTAAATTTTATAATTATTGATTAGCGGTTTATTAAATATTCGGTTATACTTTGAAGTATTGTTGAGATTATGTTGGTTAAGTAGTACTAATAAGAGTTCCATTTTGAAATTTCTGATTCTGATTTAGTTATAACTATGAATCGAATGATGGTTTGCTTGTTGGAAGTGGTCTATCATCAAATTATCTCTAATCTTTAATTTTTATCATTTCATTTGAATTTTATATTTAATGAATAGGTTGCGGCGATTTTGCTTTCTATAATACCTTTGGTATTGGTCTTTCATCAATAACTTAAATTATTGGCTAATTTTGAGCACTAGATTTTTCAAATGTTGATCTTTTGGGAGATCTGCCAACTGTATTTTTAGTTAAATCTTCATGATTTCGTATAGGGGCATTTGATAGATTTTGGAGGGGTTTAGATGTTGAGGGTCGTTCATTTACAACAGGCTTTAAGTTTGAGAGAGTTGTGCTCATTTACGGTTTAAGTTGTCTACTAAAAGCTTCATAAAGACTCTAAAAAAATGATAAAGATTGCTTACTTATTTAGGCTAATTAGACATACTTTATTGACTGTTTATAAATTTAAAAAATATTTTTCGTTAATAATTTAAAACAATAATCAATAATTATGTAGTATTAAGGTGATTTCTAGATTCTCTATTAGAAATAGCCTACCTTAAATTAATTTAAATGAAAACTTATTAATAAAATTATTCTCATCAATTACTATAGTTGATTTTTCTCTACTAAATTTTAATAGATTAATTGCATTCAATATTTTATAAATTTAAACAAAAATTTCAAAATTTGTTAAAATGGAATCGAAACTTAAACCTTTAATTCAATTCTTTGAAAATATCACAAAAAATGCTTCGCCTCTAAATTCCTTTTTAATTATTAACATCTAAAATTTTGATTCCAATACTATTTTCATTAAATCACTTAGATTTTACCAAAAAAATTATTAAGTAGATTTTACATTTATTAAATAGTATAAACATAATTCATTTCCTTTGAATCAGTTTAACTTTAATTAAATTGCAATATTTATTTTTTTTGTTTAACATTTTGATAACTACTTTAATTTCTTTTGAATTAAAAAAAACAGGAATCCCTAATTGAAAGTATTTTACTTTTTTATATTCTAACTTTAGTCCTCTATGAATTAAATTCCTTTTACAATTTATTTTATATCAGAATATTGATGTTCAACTTTTCAAGCCCATAAAACTCAAATTATGTCCTAAATTATCAATATCAATTAAATTACATACTTTCACCTTTTTTTCCATAAGTATTCTCTTTGTCTATCTAATGCATAGTAAAAGATATCCAGTATTAATTTTAAAATTGTTAAGACAAATTGGAATTTAATCTTAAGATGTAGAATTATAAAATAAAATGAATTAAAAATATAATATATATTCTCAAATTCTGTGTCAACATGTAAATAAACGGTAATATAAATTCATGTAATTGTTAAATTTAATTAAAAAATTAGGAGTGCTTAAAATTAATGATTTAAATATCAATAAAAAAAATAAATTAATTTCTAATAATTAAACAATAAAATAATTTAGCTGTTTCTCTAATTTACTAGAACACATAATAAGTCCAACCTCTTGCTAACATGTATATTAGAACTATGTTTTTCTCACCATTTCAGGACTTTTTCTTGCTTTATAGAATTCTTAATATCAAATGGGTTGATATATTACTATATTTTAATTTCTTGTTAACTTGCTACAAAAAATTATTCCTTAATTATTGAATAATAAAAATTATTTGAAATCTTGTACATCAATTATTAGATAACAAATGAACAATTAATTGGAGTGCAAAAAAAAGTAAATTGGAGAATATATTTTCGAATTCTCGTAAGAAATAGGTTCTGGATACTCATCGAAAGTCTATAAAGGGTAAAATATAAAAACCCACCAAGTTGTTGCTATAAAGGTAGTTAGTTCTTAATCATATACAACACCTATCCAAAAATCACTCCTAAAAAATGAAGTAGCCATTTTGTTAAAAATCGATCACCCTCACTTACTGAGAGTTTATGAAATCAGTTAGAGTGCAAACAACACTTATATTATTAGTGAATTATGCAATGAAGGATGCTTAGAATAGTAAATGAAAAAAAAAGAATTAACAACTGAAAAAGTGTTATCAATTTTATTTTAGGTTTCTAAAGGTGTAGAAGCTTTGCATGAAAAAAGTAAGATTTATAAAATATTTAGAAATTATCCATAGAGATATAAAGCCAGCTAACATTCTAATTAAGGATGGTATTTATAAATTAGCAGATTTTGGGTTTGCCTTAATTGAAGATGAAATTGAAAGTATAATAAAAAGATTTAATGTCGGGACACCTATGTATATGGCCCCAGAAATTACGTTAACCAATTAATATTCAGAATTTAGTGACATTTGGGCTTTAGGAATCATGTTATATGAAATGTTATTTAATTGCATACCTCCATATAAATAAGAAATAACAAAATTTCATGAAGATATTTTGAAAAAATGTCAAAATTAGGAATTCAAATACTAATCGATAATAAAATCATTGCTATTTGGAATGCTTTAGATAAATCCTTAAGACAGACTCAATATTACCTAAGTTATCTAAATTTTGAGATAATAACAAAAGTAAAGCGATAACATTTCTCCAAGAGTTCAATCTCCTTTATAAAAACTAAATTATCAATTTGTCTAATCGAATCTCAACTCTCCTCTTTCAAATTCTAAGTAACCATCACCATAAGTGAGCTAAAGATAAAAATACTAATAATAAATTTATTCTCATAACAAAGCTTCATCATTTGATCAGAATAAGTTTGATTTCTAATAAATATTTTAAAAAACTGATTGTAAAGTTAATTCTTTATCTGATTTTACAACTAATGAGGATCTCATAAAAAATACTTCAAATACAAAAAATGACAATCTTGAATTATTCGGATAGATATCAACAGAATGTTCTTTCTCAACTTAAGGATTAAAATAATAGCAATAAAAATAAAAGTTGCAATATTAATAGAAATAATTACCAGCTATTATTCTTCCAACATTTAATTTTTGTTAGTTTTTGGAAAATGTAATTAATAATATGAACACTTAAGATGAACAAAAATAAAAATGCTATTTTCTTTTTAGAAAATTGTTAGCAATTAAAGCAAAGGTATTCTATTCTTTTGCTCCAAAATAATTTAAAGAATAATTAAATTTGTGGATTAATTAGTTAAACTACTATTACGAAAAAGTTGAGCACATTTTGAATTTTACTATGGATAATACATTTTTAATATTTTTTAATATTCAATTAGAAGATTAGGGAAAGTTGCTAAGCATGTATTTAATTAGTCTGTTAACTCAAATTATTATTAAAGAATAAAATAAAGATTTCAAAATCATAATTGATATATTGCAAGAAAATGTTAAATATCAAAATGATCCATTCCTATTTGCTAGAAAATGGGCTAACAATCAATAGAAATGATTCTATTTATAGAATATTATGATTAATTTATACTTTTAATAAAATAAGTGTATTTTTTTATTATCTGATTTTGCAATTAAATTGTAAATTGGATTGGGAATCTGCTAATTTTAGCAAATATAAGAACTTACCCAATCAAATGAACTCAATTAATCTAGCAATTTAAATTCATAAGCTAAATGATTTAATCTATTTTTCGATTTGAATATTTCTGAACAATCAAATCAGCCTTCCAAAAATTTTTGTCTCTAGTTCCGAACAATAGTAGAATAGTAAATTAAGTTATAAATTTGTGATTAGTAAATAATAAAATAATATATTAATAAGAATTTTATTATAGGAGCACATGTCAAGATCCTATTGATTTCTATAAATTATTATTGGAGTTTAAGAATTACAAGTAGGTATTAATGTATATGTGAAGTATTTCATTATTGTGAATCTTTGCTTGATTGGTTAAATATCTAATAATTTAAGATAAAGAAATATTATGAGCTGGGAACCTTCCAAATATTTTAAATAAGACTTTAAATCTACATTGTCTTTATTAAAAAAATAATAGTATTGCTTGATTCTTTATGTCAAATTACACTAAGAAATATTATTCATGAAATATTTCATAATTAAGATTGTTTCTGGGACTAATAAATTGACTTAATGAAATAGGCTATATCCATATTTGATGGATATATATTGGATTTCAACAAAACCAGAATTTAAATATAACCAGCAAGGTGTAATAAAAACAGGAATTCAAACAGTGAGAGATTAAGGACAAAAACTTATTGAAGAATTAGATCTTATTCATTTGCACAGTTATCAATATAGCTTTTAAACTCTATTTGCACTTGTTTGATATATTTTCCCACTTATGAACACATAAGAAAATGGTTTGCAAAAAAGGATAATTTAAGCTAGCATCGCTATATACCATTTTAACAAAAATTTGTTAACTGGAAGTATAACAATTTTCTAAAATTAAATTGGTATTACAAACAATCTATTTGAAAGTCCTTTAGAATATGATAAAATTTTATCCCAAAAAAAAAACCATTAGAATAGCCTTGATTAATTGATGGGTCAATTTATAAATTCTACTTTATTTTAAGAGGAGCATTGGCATTATTTTACAAAGGGTTTTCTTTAGCTGTTGTAAGAAATGGTATTGTAAATATATTTCTTAATACTCTTATGAAAATCTAAAAAGAATTGTGAAGAAATTATTGCCATATATAGAAATTACAAAATTAATTTATTATTTTTTTATTAATCATTTCAGCATTCACAACTTTTTTGTTCTTGACTGGCATTATTAGCCTTAACTTCAATTGGGCTTAATTGTTTATTTTCTGTATATTAGTTTTCTTCCTATTAGGCGAATTACATCACTTGAACTTGATTATGATTATCTACTAAATTAATATTGGATATTGGTGACTAATTTTGCTGATTAGGAGGTATCAATCCCAAATATAAAAATAAAATAATATTGTACTCATGCTAATTTAGTCTAGCAATTAATTCATCTTATCTTTGAACTCTGGATCTTAATGATTAGTTTAAATTTGATATGCTATATCATATTATTCTGTTAACTTTTGTACATGTTCATTCATATCGAAACTTTATAAATCTGTTTTATTCTAACCAACATTTCATTTAAGATTCTTTACCCCTATTAATGCAATTTTTACATTAGCACCAGCCTAGAAAACAAGCTCTTCTATCCATTTGTCGATATGCAACAATGATTATTCATTTGAACAATCGTAAACTAAAATCGCAGCTTTTGCTCTTTTATAATGGCTATAATAAAACAACAATAAAACCTTGATACTATAGATCTATATTTTTCTTATCCTGCAGTGTCCCATATTGAAAATTTGATATTGTTTCTTGTGAATGAATGATGCTATACTCCAATGGTTGTCTCAGTTTTTGCTATAATATCCAAAAAACTTTTGTTATATAGATTTCTTACTTATTTAAGATTGTTGTTTTACCTACTCCGCAATCTCCCAACATAATAACTAATGATTTAACATAGATTATTTACTTTTATTTTAAGACATTTTTTTTTAAATAGTAAATAAAAATATATTAGAAAATGTTTAGTTTTATAACTTATTTTACTTAAATTTTGTATTATTAAAGAGCTCAGGTTAAGGTTTAACGATATGAAAGAAATGGAAATAAAAATTCTGAATACATGACATTTCATTCAATTATAAATTTTCATATATATATATATTCGTTTTTTATTTGCTATGAAAACAATTTCCCTACTTTTTTTCATAATAGCATTAGGCTATTCATAAACTGAAGAATTAAGAGATATATTGGATTATAGCAAATTTGATTGTGACAACTTAAATGATATGTTTGAGATCAAAAATTAACTATTATATTGGAATGAATTAAAGGACATGGATCTTATACAATAAATCTCAGATATATTAGAAGTGAAAGAGTCACTATTAAACTATAAAGAACTACTTTTAAGTAAATCAACTTTGAAAAAAACTACTACAAAACTACTTTTAGAGAAAGTTAGCGATGAAATAAAAGATATTGTGTAAGAGTTATAAAATGATAAAAAGGAGTTGACATTATAATATTGTGATAACACAATTAGAAGGATAAATAAAATTTTAGATTAACGAGATAGTGAAAAAAATTAATTGTTTAAAGTTGAAAAAAAAGAGTTAAGCGAGAAACTCAAATTAATAACAGAGAAAGTTGATACTTGTAATAGGTCCTTGAAACCTGCCTATCATAATAAAATTATCCTTTAATAGATGATTTAGAGCAAAACCAATGAGGTTGGATATGGTTATTGGTTTAGATTACTTAACTTCTATCCTGAAGATTATCAGACTGAAACTTATTTTATATCCCGTGTTTCTGAAAATGAGAACTATTCAGGAAACGATTTAGGAGATAATAAACTTGTGGTGTCAATTCAAAAAAATAGTTTAGTATTTTCTACATATGATATTAAAACAATGAATTCAATTATCGAATAAAAGCTATTATTTAAAAAAAACCAATGGACATATATTCACTTTTCTTATTAAGATGGATTGGCAACAGGATATGTATATTTAGATTAAGATGATATAAGCAAAATAGAATTTCATGTGGAACATTTTAAATTAAATTAAGCATATTTTAAATTTGGAGGGAATGATTTATAAAATTAAGGATTAAATGGTTAATTTGCATAATTGACATATGGAGTTGGGAAATAATACATAACAGACAAGCCACAATTATTTATTGAAGAAGTATCAAAATTGTCTCCTCAACCTTAATTTAATAAATAATAAATTGGGTTAATTGCAGAAGAAATGCAATTCCCATTGAAGTTTAAAAAAGAATATCACACTGATTTCATTGATGAATTTGCAATTAGTGCTTGGTTTAAAATAGAATATTTGGATGCTGAGAATATTGAAATTTTTAGATTGAAGGATGAGAAGAAAAATTATGCCTTAAGTTTTTATGGTGGTAATTCTTTAAGTTTTGGAACTTACAGCAAGGATTAAGAACTAAGGAAAGCTGAATTATTTGAATAGACAGATGATTGGCACTACATCTATATGAGTTATTCATATTTGAGAGAAGAATTCAATTGCTTTGTCTGGATTAATGGTCATATCATAAAATTACAAGAACATAATGTCAAACATTATCCAACAACTGATCTAACTCTATCAATTGAGAATGAATTTGATGGCCAAATAAATAAACTAAACTTGTATGTGGGTTAAGGCAGCCATATTAATGATCCTCACAGTCTTCCAGGTGAGTATTAAGTAGGTTTGGATTTGGTTGAAAATGTAATTTTATATTAATTTATTTTAGAGCATAGTGAGATCTTTCAAGGTGACTAAAGAAGTTAACAGTAAAAATCTGTTGAATTACAATTCTAATATGAGAGCAAGTGATGATAAGAAAAATTAAAATACCAACAATAAGAAAGAAAAATGAAAAATAATAATATAATAAAATTTATTAAATGAACCAAGAAATTAAACCTGTTATAGATGAAGGAATTAATCTAAGATGCAGATTTTATGAGAATCAATATCCAAAAGAAAATGACTTAGTAGTTGTAGAGGTAGTTGAAGTTTAAGAAAATGCTTCCTATGTCGAATTACTAGAATATGATAGAATAAGAGGCATGATCCCACCTAATGAAACAACAAGAGCTCTGAAAGGAGGAATTCAGAAGGCTTTAAAAATAGGAAAAATACAAGTTGTTAGAGTGTTGAGAGTTGATGAAGATTAAGGATACATAGATCTGTCTAAAAAGAAGGTGGCAAAGGATGAAGAGCAAATGTCATTGCAAAAATTTGCAGATGGAAAAATGATTCATTCTATTATGAGAGCTATTGCTGAGAAGTGCAATATCAATATTCAGGATTTATATAAAACTATTGTATGGCCATTATAAGAGAATAAATAAAATGTATCTGTTCTTTAAATTTTTAAAAATGCTCTAACTGATCAAAAGCATTTATCAAAATTGAATCTATCAGAATAAATTTAAGTAAAATTAATGGAAGAGATTGAGAGAAGACTTAAACCAGAACCAGTTACCATAAAAACTGAATTTGACTTAATCAGTCATGATTATGCAGGAAGTTTAATTATTAAAGAAGCACTCATTGCTGGTACTAAGAAGTCCACGGAAGAATGCAAACTATCAGTATTTTTTCATTTAAATTTAGTTTGAAATTAAAGCATCTCCATCTTATACCGGTAGGACAACCACTATCTCAAGGGATGGGGTTAAAATTATGAAGGATGCTTTGCTTGAAATTGAAAATATTATGAAAAAGTATTAAGGACAGATGAAAGTGAAAATTGAAGTATAAATAAAGATATAATTTAAATAGCCTAAAGTTGTTGGAAACTAATAAGCTGACTATATAGATGAAGTTGAAAATGAAGATGGAGAAGATGAATATGGAACTACCTAAGATGGTGGAGAAGGAGATGATGATGATGATTTGGGAATGTAATGAATTATTTTAATATATTAAATTTATCATAGTGCAACTATTTATCTTTCTGCTAACATCATATACTCTAATTACTCATTTGATTATCTAACTTTTTCGAGGTTATCTTAAGAAAATAATTTAGGAAATTACGCCTTGATTTCAAAATATTATCATTTAAAAAATATATAAAATCTTTAACCTTTTCAAAAATTATTTACAATCAAATTTATAAACTGATTGTAATTTATAAAATTCCATAATTTTCATCATTATTAAGACCATCAAAATGAAACTTATTGATTAAATTTAATAAGATTAATTTATTATAATTTTTGAATGCAAGAAGAGAATTTTGATAACATTGACAAACAAAATGTTAGTGTAGTTAAAGTACCTAATTTCTAATGGTTAGTTTTACAGTGAAGAATAGTCTTAGCAAGGAGATTAAAGAATTTATAAATTTTAAGTTAATAAACAAGATCATGAAAACTCAATGTTATTTATAGAACATAAAGATGATTTTAATATCCAACAGTAACATAATGAAGCTCCTTAACACTAGGAAGAAGAAATAGAGATAATTTAATTTGCTGAAAACAGAGATATGTTTTTTGATAATAACTAAGAGGAGGTTGATAACAATATTCCATAACAAATAGGAGAATAAATTATTGTAAAAAATATACCTGCTTTCCAATGTTAAAATAATACAGATTTAAATGATAGAAATATTCCAATATTGTAAGAACCATAATACCAAAACTAGATTTAATAACTATAAATACATTATTCACCTGTTCCTAATTAATATAATATCGCTATGATACCTACTTAATAAATTAATACTCCAATCTAGCCAACTGATCAATATGAGAATAAATAGGATCAAACAAGAAAAGAAGAAAAAAAATAAAATAAATAAAAGAAAAAGTTATAAAAAAAAGCTGATGAAAATAGTGATAAGGAATAATAAAATAATGTTGTGATTGTACCAATTAATTAAAATGAAGCTCCACAAAATGCCATTATCAACCTAGGCTCTAATCTGTCTGCTTATTGCTGCCTTGGTATTCTAAATCGATCTGATAGCTGTTGTTAATGGATATGTGATTTAACTGTATATTGTTTGACGCTCCCTTTATTTTTGCTCAAAAAATTTTTGGTTTGTATTTGGGATGGATGCTTAGAAGCTTGCTGCCAATATTGGTGTCCAAGTTGTAATGAATCATGTTAAACAGGTTGCAGTCTTTTAAGCTTTAATTGTGGTAAAACAAAAATAAATTTATTAAGTTAGATGTTACAATAGTTTAAAAAAGAACTCAAATATTATTTGCACATAGATTTGTTGTTGCATAAATTGTTCAGCTGTGAGTTAATACATTTTGGCATCCTGGGATTCTTGTAGCCATTTCTGTTTCTCGATGTGTTCGAGTTTTTGTGGAATCCTTTTAGTATGTTGTGAATACATCTTAAATAATTTGAGTGACTGTGTTACTCAGATTTGTACTTTTTGTTGTGACTGTTTATAGAACTCCTGTGAATAGATTTGCTAATTTTTGGATCCTATATGCGATAGTTTTTGTAAACTCTTGGGTATATGTTGCAAATGTATAGAATGGTTGAAATGAATTTTGATTTTATAAATTTAAAAGAAATGAAGCAATTTAAAATTAATTTGTTCAATTTATATAATTAAATGATTATTTTATCTTTTCAGCTTGACTGAAAAAAAAATATGTAGTTCTTTCAAAAGGTGGATCATAGTAAATGTTATTTTATATTATTAATATCCGGTAATTTAGTTAATAAATGATAAATGAAATTCCTGGTATGAAAAATTAAAGAATAAAGCAATTTGCACTTTGCTATACTCTCTATATTATGGTACATTGCTGTCGATCAACTTGGAGTTATGCATCAGGATTGATAATTGAGCAAAATAAGCTTGAAGGATTTACTCCTCAATTTTTGGGATATGTCAATTTTACATTTTTATTGTCAATGGGAGTTTCATACTTTTTGTATATAATTTTATTATGAGGCTTGGTTAATTAGGTGATAAGATTAACCCAAAATTATTTGTTATCATTGGCACTTATCCATTAAGCGCATTATTTATTATCCTTGCCTTAATTTTTGAATTTACAACAGCCCCAAAGGAACTATATTTAGTATTACTGCTCTTAGCAGGAATGTTTTCTTCAACTGCATGGCCAGGCTTACTATGTACATTTTTATTATAATATTTTCAAGCAATAATGAATGCATGGATGCCAAAAGAATAAAAAGGTATTATTCTTGGTGTTTTTGCTTCTTGTATCAATGTAGGAAACATAGCAGGTTTTGCTAATTCTGGAATTACCATTGAGATATGTGATCTCAGCATTTTAACCCCAATTTATATAAGTGGAGGATTGCTATTTTTCATGACTATTTTGTTTCATATTTTCATCAAACCAAGACCTCCTATTATATCTGAGCATATCATATCTGATACTTCATAAGAACCTTAAGTGAGCAAAGAAGTTGTAGGAGTGAAGAAATTGAAAATTTGGAAAGCTTGGCTTTTACCAGGAGTAGCAATATATGCTTTGGCTTTTGGATGTATTAAAGCAATTTCAATGATTGTTGGATTGTGGCTTCCAGCTTATTTAGACTATCTTCATGTGACATATGTAGCTTTAATCAATATAATGCTTGATTTAGGAGCTGGATTTGGGGGAGTAATAGTTTGGTATAATAAGAAAACTTATTTTTTAGTTATTTAGGAGTTAAATATTAAAAAAGGGCAACAATTATTGTTCCATTATTGTGGCTAGGAACCATCTTAATGGTGGCAATAAATTTCCTAAAAGATTATGATAATCCATATGGAGGATATATGGCTCTTAATTTTGGTGTGGGTTTGTTTATTGGAGGATGCTACAATAATGTTGCTGCTGCCATCGCTGTAGAACTCAGTAACAATAAAGCGTTAAAAAGTAAATATAATAATAAATATCTTTCAGAATATAAGCATGCAACCTCAACTGTAACTTCATTAATAATGGGATATGGCACTCTGTTTGGAGCTTTGAATCAAATAATTGTTCCGTACGTCAAAGATTATCTATTTCTTTATTGCGGTATTTTAGCTGTGGTTGGAGGATTGTTACTAATAGTTGTCATAATAACAGAATGGAAACTCGATGATGAACCAGAGAAACTAAACAAAGAAATAGAAATGCATTGATTACTCCTCTGTTAATAATTTATATATCATAATTATTATGGCTAAGTGCTAATGTTTTTTAATTTTCGATAATAAAACACCCCTATAATTAAATAGGGAAGAATGAACACAAAAGCATAATACATTCTTTAAGGCTCACACTAGTATTAAACAACTTGTAGCATAGTAAAAGTTATATAAGTAAATAAAAATTCTGTGATTAATTTACAACTTAAAAGTGTAATTCTTGTTGTTCTATATATTTCTTATGCATTAAACACAGTTAAACCAACTTGAATACTTTAAAATCTATACCACAATCATAATTAAATCGATGTGGAACAAATTATAAAATAGTAAAGATAATATATGATATCGTCATTACTGCTGGTAGTGCAAAAAGAATGTTTTTATCTGCATACCTAACTGCATTTCCATTATAATCAAATTCAGTCGGAACTTTTTCATTCAAATATACAAACTGAATAATTAAAATAGATTTACAGATTAATGAAAAAAAGCCCAACATAAAATTAGTACTAAAAGAGCAAAAATTTCTCCTACAATTTCCATCTTTTTGAATCTGGGTAGGTTTTTCAAAGAATTCTAAATTAACTCATCATCTTTTTAAACTGCAATATCATTCATATGGATAGTTGGCTATTGAATGTAAGAATGATTAATCATTATTAATAATAGTAATAAAAAATTTGATATTGGATATTTTTGTAACATATTAATATTAGTGATAAGTTTAAATAGTTGGCTCTTCATTTTGGCTATGATTATTGCATTTGAATCGTTTTCTTAATCAATATTTTTATAATTATTTTCTATTACTTTTTTTTCATACTCCTTTAAATATAGCATTTCATCATTTGGATCTTTAGAATTATTGTCTAACTATCCATAAGCCTTTTGAAAGAAATTCTTACGAATATTTTATCCTAACTTTGTTTCAATTCTAAATTGCATACCACCCTGCTAAAGATCTAAATAGTTATAATTATTACTGCTAAATAAAATTCTGCCTCTCATTTTAAAATTTAGACTATTGATTTGATTTTTTTGTGTATTTTATGAAAATGGTTTGATTATACTGGTAGATACTTCGATTATTTCTTATAATTATAGATTTAATATTTTCAGTTTATCTAAATAGTAAAAAGCTTCTATATAAATATTATTTCTTATTTTGAATTACTTTCAAATTATTTGATTTCAATTTGAGAATATGTTTAATTAGCTTTCTCTATTTTATTTTTTCAAATAGCCCAACTTCTTCTTTATTATTTTATGATTGATTAATTAGTCAGTATGCTCCTATTAATTTTGTAATTGATAACTTGAAAATAATTGAAAAAATACTATATATGATATAATGGTTATTATTATTGGTACAATTTAGATCTCCTTATTTTATATACGCATAACCAGTATTTATAATGTTATTCGAGAATAACAAAAAAAAAGAAATTTAGTCTTATTTGTTAAAATTGATTATCTTGTGATAGATATATACAAAAAGTACTTGCCCATATTCAAAGAAATTATTCAAATCTTTAGATAAGTTAGTGCTATGCTATAAATAATTGAAAATAAATCAACATTTTTGTTTAGGATTCGAGTATTATGTAAAATTAATCTACAAAACTTAAAATTCAAGTATATTAATATTAAGTTTTAAATATTTACATTTACTATGTAGGAAATGGGGTGAAAATTTTTATTAAAAAAAAAAAAATTAATGATAGATAATTGATTAATAAATAATGTCTGCGATGCTACTTTGTATTACAATCTAGGTATATCATGTGTCTAAAAACTAGGAATTCTATTTGATCAACAAGGAGACTTGGAAAATGCACTACAAAACTGTAGGAAGGCTATTACATTAAATCCAAATTTTGCTGATGAGTATATAAAGCAAGGAATATCATGTAGTGTAATAATTAGGAATTCTATTTTTAATACAAAGAAAAAATAAAAAGTAGATGTGCAGAAGTAAATTATCTAGTCATATAATTAAGAGTTCTATTTAAATAACAAGGAGACAATGAAATGGCACTACTAATATGTATAAAATAATAATGTAAAAGAAAGCTTTATCAGAACAGTTTTAAAGGTAAGCACATGAGTTCAATAGGAAGTGATTAATTAAACTCTTAAGGGATGGTTCATTCTTAGATGATTCAAAGGATTGTTATTTCAGCATCTGTTTTAATATTTTTGATAGGTTCAGACATAGGAATTATTAATGGCCTTTATTTTTTTAATCTTTTTTTGAAAACTGAATTAGATTCGGCTGGCAATAAATTTTTAAGTCTTGAAGTTATCAATTCAGGATCCTTGGATAATGGAATTTAATAATTTATAGATTTTTATTATGAATAAATAGCTAAAATTTTAACTGATTTTGAAAATTTTTAAACTTCCCATTAATATGAAACTAGTTTTATATTGAAAAATACACTTTGAACTGGTTTTCTTAATTGTTTCCACTAATGGTAGTATGCTTTCTTCACACTCCATTAAACTTATATTGCGAAGAGGATAATTCTAACAGTAAGTTTAATACTTGTTTAGAAAGACAATTATTTATATATTTTGCATATAGTGATTAAGTTTTTTTAAATATATCTTTGAGAATAAAAAAATTATAAAATTAAAAAACACAGTAGGAATAAAAAATCCATTTTTAACCCAATTAAGAAAAATATGGAATTATAGATGATTGGCTGACACTTATTAATTTGTTTGGATATTTGTTTCCATTTAGCATTATTTTGGTTTTGGATTATAATTTAATTTCAGATTTAAATGTATAGGTTGTTATCTAAAATTCAGAGACCATGGTTTAAAGGAGATGTTCATTTGGAATTTGGAATGAAGTAATTAATTAATAATACTTTGTTACAGTTTTATGCAACTCAGGTTTAATTTTATCTACTGTAATGGGAAATTGTAGAATGAAGTAATATTCCTATTTTTAACCTTTACTATTTCATAATTTTTTCGTGAAATACATAAACATGTTCATGTCGCTATTTTGTGGTACTCCAACAATTTTAGAATAGATTATTCGAAGAGGCTATTATATATATAAATAATGTATAAATTACAAGTAGTGCTGCTGTAAAGTTATGCTTGCTGAAGTTAAAGAGTAATAAATATTTTGTGAAGTTTTGATTTTTACCCAAATCAAATTACAAAAATGAATGTCTACCAATTTAAGTTTACCTTGATATATGTATAAGTAAGCTTAAAATAATTTAATTCTATTAGCAAAGGACTTTTGGTCATGTTGATGACCATATTATTATGGATTTACAAGTAAGGGAAAAAATCAAATAAATCGTATTTATTAGGCAAGAGTGTAATGATAAACGTGCTTGAATTGAATAAAAGAACTAAAGGTTATGCCTAAAAATGATGTCCATCTTTGGGATGTCAAAACAGGATAATAAAAAGCCAAATTAGATGGTCATAGTGATTATGTTAGATCAGTCTGTTTCTCTCCTGATGGAAATACATTAGCTTCTAGTAGTAGTGATTAGTCTATCCGTCTATGGGATGTCAAAACAGGATAATAAAAAGCCAAATTAGATGGTCATAGTAGTACTGTCTACTCAGTCTGTTTCTCTCCTGATGGAAATACATTAGCTTCTGGTAGTAATGATAAGTCTATCCGTCTATGGGATGTCAAAACAGGATAATAAAAAGCCAAATTAGATGGTCATACTAGTACTGTCTACTCAGTCTGTTTCTCTCCTGATGGAAATACATTAGCTTCTGGTAGTAATGATAAGTCTATCCGTCTATGGGATGTCAAAACAGGATAATAAAAAGCCAAATTAGATGGTCATACTAGTACTGTCTACTCAGTCTGTTTCTCTCCTGATGGAAATACATTAGCTTCTGGTAGTAATGATAAGTCTATCCGTCTATGGGATGTCAAAACAGGATAATAAAAAGCCAAATTAGATGGTCATACTAGTACTGTCTACTCAGTCTGTTTCTCTCCTGATGGAAATACATTAGCTTCTGGTAGTAATGATAAGTCTATCCGTCTATGGGATGTCAAAACAGGATAATAAAAAGCCAAATTAGATGGTCATACTAGTACTGTCTACTCAGTCTGTTTCTCTCCTGATGGAAATACATTAGCCTCTGGTAGTAGTGATAAGTCTATCCATCTTTGGGATGTCAAAACAGGATAATAAAAAGCCAAATTAGATGGTCATAGTGATTATGTTAGATCAGTCTGTTTCTCTCCTGATGGAAATACATTAGCTTCTAGTAGTAGTGATTAGTCTATCCGTCTATGGGAAATCAAAAACAAGTATTGTTCAGATTATAGATTTAAAGAAATTTAGGTTAAAAATACAAGATACATTTACTATTATGGTTTACCCATACTTCAAAAGAGAGTTTTTTATAAAAAACCGTTTCCTTTTAGGAGAATTATTGGAGTACTTCTTGTGTCCAATATTTGTTGATAGAGTTCTATTTTATAGTTTTTTTCTTTTTTAACAATCTTGAAGCAGAGCTAAAATGGAAATTAATTTAGCACATTTTAAAATATTATGAAATAGAACTTTTAGTTGCATGAATGCAATAATATCTTAAATCTTTGTATACTGTTTTTTTGGTATTATTCTTATCATAACCAAGCATTTCTTGTCAATTTATATTAAGAATGTGAACTGTCCAAGATTTATACAGTAGATTCTACAACTAAATCTTTCAACATTTATCATTTCTAAGTTTTCCTATCTTCGTATTTCTTGAGAGTCAATATATTCTAATATTGAATTTCATAAATTAATAATTTTCTCAACTCATATGTAATTAACAGTAATACTTTTATTTTTATTAAATTGATTTTATAAACTTTAAATTTTAATATTGTTATTGAAAAATTTATTTTGGAAATTTAAGAGAAAATACTCATGCATTTAAGTGTGACTAATATGAATGCTTTTTATATATTTAAATAATTTATCGTTCAATTTATCTTAGGAGATTGTTATAGAGAAGATAAATTTTATTAAGATTGTCCATTGTGTTTATTAATACCAATAATTATTTCCTTTTTAATTTTACAATTTAGGTGCAATTTCTTGATTTAATTGTAAAATATAACCATTTAATGAGTTTTTAAAGACTTAA